CAAATCATGAAAAATTAATCAAAATCACTGATTATGGCCTAAATTGGGGGTTTTTGTGCTTGGCTTGGAATTACAAAATTGGTTTCAAAATTGAATGTAATACAACCTCTAGATAAAATGTCGTGAAGGAAACTAACCTAAAAAATGACTAGAAATGAAGTAATTTTATTTTTAGCCGATTTGAACCAAATTCTGCAAATTGGGGAAAATTTGATTCTAAACTGATTTTTGCATAATTTCAAATGCTAAAGTTAAATTGAATGTACAATAAGATGATTTTGGAATTTTTGTATATTCTAATTTTTTGGTCAAAGGTTTGACTAAAAGTCAAACCTTAGTTGACTTTTCACTAGAAGTTTGATTTTATGATCAAATCTTTGAATTTTTCTGAAATTTCCACTTTTAAAGTGAAATCAAACTCAAAATGAATCTTTTTGTATGAAAAGCCCCAATTTGACCGGGATTGACTTTTGGTCAAACGGTTGACTGGTCAACCGTATGACTTTTCGATTTTCGTATGAAATGAATAGAAAATTGTTTATATAAGCTAAATCCACAAACAGAATTGAAAAACGACACTTTTTGTTCGAGAAATGGACTCTGTCACGATCGGAGACCCAAATTCCGAGTTTTCTACCTTTGATGACACGTCGGCTAAAAATTAAGTGTCAACACTGGGGCATGAACACACTCAAGCATACAAGGCATGAATAACACAAGCATAGACCTTTAATCACATTCATGTCTATCACAGGTGAACACATGACTAAACTCGACGATGTAGCCTATCACCCTAGCCAAGAGTTAGGAACTCTACTTACCTAAGGGTGAATCTAGAGAGCTTGGCCAAGAGAGAGAGTGGCGGCCGAGAGAGAGGGTGGCGTGCAAAGGGGGGTGAAGGTGGAAATGTGAGCCAAATGGTGGAAATGCAAGGAGTTCATCTATTTATAGGCCTCAACTTCGTCATTGCTTGTCAAAGTGGTCCAATTGATTTCTTTAAAGTGGCAAGCCTATTAGAATGAGTTGGCTAGCCTAGTGAATGAGTGGCAAGCCTAATAACAAGAGGTGGCATGCCTAATGGGGTGGTATGGCATACCTAAGCTCTTAGGGAAATCATGAAGCCAATGTATGCATTTCTAATTGGCACACTTGGTCTTGAGTCATCAAATTCTTCTCCAAGGCAAATCTTGAGCCATCATGACCAAATCTTCCTTAGGCCACATAATATGATGATTCACCCCTTGTAATAATGACCCATGTTCTAGAGTCCTCTCTTTTGTCCAATTCAAGAATATGGCAAGAATGAGAATTAGGCCAAGGGGAGTGCTAACTTGGTCGGGTATGAGTTTCTCATGTCCATCCATGATCGATCGTGCCTACCAAACTGAGGTTCGTAACCAAGTCACCATCAGATGTGACGGGTCATGGCCAAACTTGTTTTGGTTGGCTAAGTCGGTGGCCCATGGCATGGGCACCATGGCTGGCACTGGCCGGGTGCATGGCCTGTGCCTGACCTGGCTCGTGGCCTGTTCACAGTGTCCTCAACCTGACTGGACACATGGTCGATACAAGACTAGGCTGACCTAGCGCATGGCCGGCTCGTGGCCTGTCCGCAGCGTCCACAGGTTGGCCGAGCACATGGCTAGCACTTGTGCTAGCTTTTGGCCTTATGGTAAGGTCCAAGTCCGAGCACATGGCCGGCTTGTGGCATAGCTCACGGTTTGGGCACATGGCCTATTCGGCAAGGTCGCCGAACTAATTCGTGACCTATCCACAACTGGTCTGTGACCTGTCCAAGTGGCCCATGGCCAGTCCATGACCTGTTTGGCCATGGCCAAGCATACTTGTCCATGGCCGACACTCGGTTGTCATATAGTTGTGTGGGATCGATCATTCCGTGACCGACACACGGTCGCACGGATCGATCCATGGTCATTCACGGTCGGTACATGACCGTGCAGAACCACCCACGATCGCAATAAGACCGTGCGGGATCGATCCATGATCGTCCATCGATCCGTAGTGGTACGTGACCGTCCTACGACCAACCCTTATGGTCGAGTAGCCGATCCATGGCCGAATAGCTCAGGTCACTTGTGTGGTCATTGAATTGATTCGTTGCCGATCCCTTGATCATTCTAAGGCCAATCCTTCGATCAGACCATGGCTAATCCCTTGGTTACCCTTCCGATCGGGTTGATCGGTCCATGACTGATCCTTGGATTGGACCATGGCCGATTTCCCCCACTATCGGCACACCAGTTCCATAGTCATTCCTCATAGCTAGAATCATGGATGTTACAGTAAGCATAGACATTTTCAATTGGGGAGGCAAGGCAATTGGGGCATGAAAAGATTTGAACTCAGGACCTCCAACTACGATAGCAACTACTCTAAAAGGTTAAGCTGTTAGATGAAGGCGTGGCATATTATCTAAATATCCTAACATAAAAATTGAGAATAACCGAAGCATCCGAGTACGATGAAAGCCATTCAAGAGGCTATACAAGAATGGAGAGGAAAGGAGTCATATTGGCGGTTGCCACCAGCATGCTTGTGGGGATAGGGAAGTTGAGCACAAGAAGCCTAAAGCAGCCAGATCAATCGAAGAGCCGATGGATGAGGGGGCGATGATGGATCATGACATGGTGGGAATTGCGGGTTCTGATTTGAGAAAAAGAGCAGAACTATGGATTGAACCAGGGCTCAATTCATACAGAGATAAGGTCTGTGCTGAGGAATCCCAAGTTTTCAGTATATTGGGTGAGGAAAATAAGTACAAAAGCATGGACGCTGAGAGCTACAAACAGGATGCTCCAGTCGATGCTTCTCAAGGGATTGAAGGGAATCATGGCTATGCGCAACTCAAGAGCATCAAGGACCACTCGGAGAAGGCGAACAAGCACATATGTTCGATATGACAAAGGGATTTCTCATCGGGCCAAGCTTTGGGCAGTCACAAGAGGGCTCATTAAGCGAAGAACCCTTAAGCCAATGCAGAAATGCCGACAAGCACGGCCACATAGCAAAGGCTCGTGGACATAACAAACATGGTTGATCAAGGACTACTCGAAGAAGGCGAGCAGGAACGTAAGATAGAGGAGCCCACTTGTTAGTACTCTGCTTTTTAAGAGGCTAAATCCTGATAAAAATTTGTGATCCTTGAAATTATGGTTTAATACAACGAAAAACCACAAACTGGTACACTTGTAACAAATTTACCTCAAAGTAATTTTTTTACCATGAAAAACTCGAAACAGGTATACTCGCGGCAAATTTACCCCTAATTGAATTTTAACAATAAAAAACCCTAAACTAGTACACCTGTGATAAATTTACCCCAAACTAATTTTTTACCCAAACAAAAAACCCCAAACCGGTACATATGTGACAAATTTACCCTCCGTTAGAGAACCAATTTGAGTTTTTTCGTGGTATTTACTTTATGAATTTCCACGTAGACTTGCCATGCCACATCACCATGTGTCATTTACATCAACAAATTTAACGGTAAAATTTTATGGAAGCTAATGTAGGGTTAATTTGTTACAGGTATACTAATTTGAGATTTTTTGTGGTCAAAAAATTAATCATTTCTCTGTAATGGTGGTCACAGGTGTACCAGTTTGGAGTTTTTTGCAGTTAAAAATTTAATTTTGGGTAAATTTGTCATAGGTGTATCAGTTTAGGGTTTTTCGTTGTAAAAAAACTAATTTTTGGTAAATTTATCACAAGTATACCAGTTTGGGATTTTTTGTGATATTAACCCTGAAATTATTTATTTGAACTTCTCTCGCTAAATCCCTAACATAAGGGAGAACATGGAAAAACAAAAAGAAAAGGGAAAATTCCAATTAAGGACCCCAAGTAGGGTCTTTTTATCAAAAAAGGACCTCAAGTAGACATAGTGTCAAATAAGAACCTAAAGTGTCCAATCAGTCTCAAATAAGGATCCGAAGTGCCCAATTAGACTCAAGTAAGGGCCTGGGTTCGCCGGTCAGTCAAATGCTCACTGGCCGGTGAGCAAGTTACTATTCCGGCGACCCGAAAAGGGCAATTTCGTCTTTTTCTTTTTCTTTTTTCCTTTTCCTTTTCTGTTTTTTTTTCTTCTCTTCCCTCTATCGGCCATAGGCAGGGCCGGTGGAGGTCGCCGGCCTCAGGTGGAGGTCGCCGACCTCAGGTGGAGGCTGCCCTCGCCGGCGTTGGGCGAGGGCTGCCCTCGCCTGGGTTGGGCGGGCGAGGGTCACCCTCGCCCGATGCTGGCAAGGGTCGCCCTCCCCCGCCTAGCCCAGTCGAGGGTCGCCTGATGTCAGCAAAGGCAACCTCCGCCGAGGCTGGCGACCTCCATCGGCCCCGGCTATGGCCGACGGAGGGAAGAGAGGAAAAAAAAACAAGAAAAAGGAAAAAAAAAAAAAAAAGAAGAAACTGCCCTTTTCCGGCCATCGGAACAGTAACCGTGCTCGCCGGCCGACGAACCCAGGCCCTTACTTGACACTAATTGGGCACTTCGGGCCCATATTCGAGACTGATTTGGCACTTTAGGCCCTTATTTGACACTATGTCCACTTTTGACCTTTTTTTGAGAAAATGACTCCACTTTGGGTACTGATTTGAAATTTTCCCAAAAGAAAATGATATGTTGGATTTAGGAAGCCTTATTTATTTATTTTTTGGCTTCTGTGTTCCATGCATGGACTATTCCAGCTACCAAACACGGCGTTACCCGTTTGAGAGAGCGAGCGACAACAGAGGAATATGACAACCGACAAATCGATCATCATGTAAAAAACCCACTCACGCTCACTCGTATTTGCACATTTCAAAACCCCTGCTTCTTCTTGGTGAGCTTTCTGATTCCTCTATAGCCTTCTCTCTCTCTCGCTCGCGCTCGCTCGCTCTCCGGGGAGAGAGAAAGTCTCGGCCTTTCTGAGTTTCGATGAACTGTTTGTATCCTCTCTCTTCGATTTCGCTCTGTTCTTTTCTTTTGCTGTTTTCGCGATATGATGATGAATCTGGGGAGAGTATATCAGTGCAAGCTCTGCAGGAGGATCTTTTCTAGCGGACCAATGTTGGGAGGTCACATGAGGTGTCACCTGCCCTACAGTGTACCGGAGAGAGTGCAGCCATTGGTGATCGGTGACAGCTCGAAGGAAGAGCGACATCTCGGGTATAGTCTCCGAGTGAACCCCAAGAAATCGTGGAAATTGTCGGAGCTGGAGGAAAATGCCCCAGAAAATCTGTGGCCGGACTGCGACAAGCGGTACAGGTCGATGAGGGCCCTGTTTTGCCACATGAAGATTCACTCGAGGAAGCACGGCCAGAGCGGGGACCGGTGCAAGGACCGCAGCAAAGGGTCCAGGTCAATGAAATCTTGCTGGGATCGCACGAGGCCGATTCACAACGGGGAGAGTCTCTTGAATGAAGATCGCTTTGCAGGCTCGAGCAAGACCAAGAGTGATCTCCTTCTGCTCGTTTTAGCCGACGACGAGGCAATGCACGTGCCCAGGAGGAAGAGAACCCCGCGAATCGCGTTTGACGTCAATGGAAGAAGTGAGGGAGTTCTGCTTTCCGCACCAAATGGTTCTTTGTCCAGTAGCGAGGCCGAGCATGACCTGGGAACCGTAGCACCAGCTTCTTCGATAATGATCTCCCGATGTGAGACAGACTTCAATTCTTCGGGTTTGGGCGTCAAACCTTTCACGAACAGCTCGGCCCTGGATTTCATTGACGTGGGGAAAGGAAGGGTGACTGAAGCATCCGAGTGCAATGAAAGCCATCCAAGAGGCTATACGAGAAAGGAGCGGAAAGGGGTTGAATTGGAGGTTCCCGCCAGCATTCACAAGAAGCCTAAAGAAGCCAGATCAGGCAAAGAGCCGATGTATGAGGCGGCAATGATGGATCATGAGCCGATGGGAACTGCGGGTTCCGATTCAAGAGAAAGAGCAGAACTATGGCTTGAGCTGGGGCTTAATTCATTCAGAGACAAGGTCCGCGCTGAGGACTCGCAAGTTTTCAAGTACAAAAGCAGGGACGCTGAGAGCTACAAACAGGAGGCTCCGGTCAATGCTTCTCACAAGATGGAAGAGAGTCGCGGCTGCACCGGACTAAAGAGCATCGACGGCTCGGAGAAGGTGAACAGGCAGGTATGCTCGATAAGCTGCGTGATATCGGAGAATGGAGATGTGCCTGATATCAGCGTTCGATACCATCCATGTTCGTTCTTTCGATGGTTTCGAGTGAAGTCAGCGGATTCACTCTTTCATTCTACATTGCATTCAATAATATTACCATCTCTCTGATACTGCTTTTCGGGTATATTTTGGTTACATTCTTGTTGGGTCAATGTGATTATGATCGGTTAGCAACTCTGAGTTATGAACTCTCTTGGTGTTCCAGAACAATTAAGCTATACCTTGTTTTCGATTTGTGCCTACATTCTGTGAGTGGCGAATCTGTTGTTGTCGGGTTAAACTCTGTTCAGGATGATGACTGTCGTGGAAGCAGGGGATCGACTTCTGATACCAGTTCTTATGTTAAGTTTGCACTGAAACTTTTTCAGTGAACTTGCATATGAACAGAACAACAGCAAATGCAGGGCAGATAACTTCGGACTGATGAACAATCTCACCATGAGATTGATTGGGGGAAGCAGAGTTCTCTTCTTGATCTTCCCATCTAATCTCGCCGGCACACTCGACCTTGATGCTAGGGTTATTTAGGATTTCCTGTTTGCGGCGACTGGCTGACTCTTATTATATATTATTTGATTTCTCGTAACTTTTTACGGACCTCACACTTTAATTTTTTATTTGATGCAAAGTCCTCGAGACTTTTCAAAGTTTTTTTACGTATGATATTTTTTTGAAATTGGAAATGATATCTGTAACTTTTCGAATTTTGAAGGAAAAGTCAAGAGTAGAAATTAGAAGGAAATACAAGAAATCCGCCCCCCAAGAGAGGGGTCTTAAGTTTCGATTTCACTGAACTGTGAAAATATATTCTATGTGGTCATAGCGTATGAACCATTCGTCGAAAAAGTAAATAATGACGTGGATTTTAACTTGTTGCCTTGTCCTCCATCGAGGGACCCTTGTGATATTATTTTAAAAATATCATAACATGATTGGAAAAATTTAACAATTTACTATGAAATATACTCGCGTGAAATTTACGATCAATTTCAATGAATTCAAATGTTAAATAAATCCATGTGGAGATTAAATCCTTCCTTCCTCTTTTTTTCCGAATGATTGCCATGAACTTCTTAAGATTCCTCTATCCTTGGATATGCTCTTACTTGAACCCAAGTCGATGGACTCAAAACTATCACAGCCGTCAATCATGTAGGATTCATATATAGGGTCCATATGATTAACAGCTAGATAGACACGATTAATGTGGACTTGAATTCATGCAACAAATTGTCCTGCTGTCAGGGTGCTTTGTGCATGCCAGGTCACCTAATTGAAAGTTGATCCGTAATTATTTTTTTTGTCGAAAAAAAGATTCAATTCATTTCTCAGAATAATACTCGAGAGGTACATAGAAGACTTATAAGCATGGCAAATCTCAAAAAACTGCGGAACAAAGCAAATGCTCGAATGTAAAAAAGTTAATCCGTAATTGAATGACTTGTATATATAGTACATCCTAATTTTGTTGTTTGTTGATTTTTTGGTACTTGGTAAATGAGTTGTCTAATTTGTTTATCCTTATCCTTCTTAGTTGCTCTATCATGTTCTCAAATTATCATACTTGGTAAACATCTACCGGATTTGGTGTCCAAACGCATGATAGGAATGAAAGATTTGACCGGACTCGCCGTATTATTACATTGCCGCTACACCCAGCACCTCGTATCCACCATTTACGGCTAGGTGATTATGTGCATACTCATACTCATTACCCTATAGAGAAAGGAGTCTCGAAATAGAAAATTCTACTGATTACTTACTATATTCTCGAAAGGATTTCCCCGTTAAAGACCCGAATAAAGAAAATTTGTCGTTTTCCATGCGCTTTCTATCCCCAACCAGCATGCATGGGAAATGAAATCGTTTCCTCGTTAAGCGAGGCACACATTCATAAAAACCTTCTCGAAACTCCGTTTCCTCCTATCCAAGACAATGTGTTTGGACACGCGCTTTGTCCCCGATCGCACCAAGTTCCTCATCGCTTAATTGATGGCACTAGGGAGCATTTTTTTCGGTACTCTGCTTTTGCCGAAGGCTAAAATCCCGATAAGATTTTGTGATCCTTTAAATTATTTACATAAATTTTTCTCACAAAATCCCAAGTATTAGTGTGAACAAAGGGATTAAAAAAAGAAAAGAAAATGATATGTTGGAATATCAAGAGCTATTTTTTTTTCCTTAGCTTCCAAATTCCAGGGGATAGGACTATTCCAGCTGCCAAACATGGCAATACCCGTTTGAGAGAAGCGGGCAACGACCAACTAATCCTAGAAACCCACTCGCGCACAAGCGCACACGCTCGTATTTGCATATTTCAAGAACCCTTTCTCCCCAGAGAAGAGAGTAATTCAAAATCCCCTGCTTCTTCTTCTTCGTGTTGCTCTCTGATTCCTCTGCTTTCCTCTGTACCCTTCTCTCTCTCTCTCTCTCTCTCTCTCTCTCTCTCTCTCTCTCTCTCTCTCTCTCTCTCTCTCTCTCTAGGTCGCTCACTCGCTCTCTTGGCGAGAGAGAGTCTCCACCTTTCTGGGTTTTCGACAAGCTGTTCGCGTTCTCTCTCCCTTCGAATTCCGCTCTGTTTTTCCTGCTCTTTTCGTGGTTTGATGATGATCGGAGAGAATCCCGAGAGAGGGTATCAGGGCGAGCTCTGCGACAAGATCTTCCCTAACGAGCGAGTGTTGGGAGGTCACATGAGTCGTCCCGTGGCCAAGAATATAGCGGAGGGAGAGCCGCCATTGGCGATCGATGACGGCGGCTTGGAGGAAGCGGGACGTCCTGGGTATCGTCTCCGAGTGAACCCCAAGAAATCGTGGAAGTTCTTGGGGCTGATGGAAAATTCCCAAGAAAATCCGTGCCCCGTCTGCAACAAGCAGTTCGGGTCGATGAATGCTCTGTGTGGCCATATGAAGATTCACTCGGGGAAGGACGACGGGAGCGGCGACCGGTACCGGGGAAAAGGGTCCGGGTCGATGAAATCTTGCTGGGATCGTGCGAAGCGAATTCACGACGGGAAGAGATTGAGTTTGAGTCTCTCGAGTGAAGATCGCTATGTGGGCTGGAGCAAGACCAAAGGTGATTTACTGCTCAGCGTTTTACTCGACGACGAGGCAATGCACGTAACCAGGAGGAAGAGGACACCGCGAATCAGTTACGGTGTCGATGAAAGAACTGAGGGAGTTCTGTCTTCCGCGCCGAATGGGTTTTCGTTCAGTAGCGAGGACGAGCAAGACCCGGTATACGATGCAGCAGTTCTGTTGATGATACTGTCCAAAGGTGAGGCGGGCTTCAATTCTTCGGGTTTGGGCGTCGAACCTTTCCAGAAGAGATCAGTCCCAGATTTCTTTGACGTGGAAAAACTGAGGATAACCGAAACATCCGAATACAATGAAAGCCATTCAAGAGGCTATACTAGAATGAAGAGGAAAGGGGTCGAATTGGCAGTTCCCGCCGGAATGCTTTGTGGGGATAGGGAAGCTGTGCACAAGAAGCCTAAAGCAGCCAGATCAGGCGAAGAGCCGATGTATGAGGCGGCAGTGATGGATTGTGACATGATGGGAATTGTGGGTTCTGATCCAAGGGAAACAGCAGAACTATGGATTGAACCAGGGCTAAATTCATACAGAGATAAGGTCTGTGCTGAGAAATCCCAAGTTTTCAGTGAATTGGGTGAGAAAAATAAGTATAAAAGCAGGGACGCTGAGAGCTACAAACGGGACGCTCCAGTCGATGCTTGTCAAGGGATTGAACGGAATCGTGGCTGCGCGGAACTCAACAACATCAAGGACTACTCGGAGAAGGCAATCAGGCATGTATGTTCGATATGCCACAAGGATTTCTCATCAGGCCAAGCTTTGGGCGGTCACAAGAGGGCTCATTACGCGAAGAACCCTGAAGCCAATGCAGAAATGCCAACAAGCGCAGCCACACAGCAGAAGCTCACAGACATAACGAACATGGTTGATCTTTAGCCTCTCAGTACTGTTTGGAAAAAGAAAAAACAAAGATCGTTAGTGTTGTGTTCGAGTGATGAATCGCTGTGACAGAGGCAAAAGCACAAATGAGATGATGGTGAACTCAATGTGCAGCTTAGCTTAGTCCATTTATTTTGTTCCTGGCAATAAGCTTTCTAGATTTGGGTTTTTTTAGCCCCGTTTTCTTTTTCTGTTGAAGCTTTTAGTCCATCCATATCTTCTATTCTAATTTCTCTGTTGATGTAGATGAATACATTCCTTTGGCATTCTCATGCCAATGCTTTTGCCATTGTTATTGGATGCAATAATCTGAACTTGTATTTTTCTTAGCTTCTTCTCTCCATTGCTTGATTTTCAAAGGTTGCAGAGCTGATCCATCATCCTTTGTGTGGTTTTTCTTTTCTGTTCTTTTACTCATTTTCGAAAATGTGGTCAAGAGCAGAACCTCCTGACCATCTCATCTGATTCTTCTGCTTTTGGCACCTGGTAAAGAGAGGACACAACCCACCCCTCCCAGTTTTTTTATAGAATGTGGACATGTAATCGAAGAAGTTTTTTAAATCTTTTCGTATTCTTGTTTTATCACACGACATACTGACGTGATATCAGACTCCTAACCAAGTAATACGGTTCTCAATCACAATATTACCCCTAAATATTGCAATAATAAGGAACACCGATTGAACTTTGATAACTTGTCAAGCTATATAGCTATCTGCATAACAGTTGGTGATGCAGTAAAACTGGCTTCTGCCTCTTCTCTCCTCATTATTGTTCCCCCTTTGCCCCCCCATGGTCAAACTTTTTTTATGTGATCTTCAATTGCTAGATAAAATGCTTTATCAACTTACATTCTGCTGAATGAGGAGCAAAGCCCATGCGATATTACGGCTTGTGCCGTAGTTTGCAAGGAAAAATTGGCCCATCTTAGTGGAGTGCACCTAACCTTTTGCCCAAGAGAAGCAAACATGCTAGCGGATTTGGTGGCTAAAGCCTAGCAGAAAAAAAACCTCTCCACTTAGATGTTCACAAACTTGCTTTGAGTTAATGAAATTTCCGGTATGTTGACCAAAAAAAACTTACATTCCTACGTACCGGTTACATTCCTACGTACCGGGTTTGTAACCTGTGCAATGCATGTTGAGAATTCACAACACGATTAAGAAAAATATTACAAAAAGAATCTATGACATGATTTGGAAAACAGATTAAATTGATTACATGGAAGAAAATAATAGCTTCGGAACTCAAGAAACGTACATAGATAATAATATTAGCGATAAATTATCTTGGAGTATTTTCGATAGAAATTAATCTAATAAAAAAGAAAAAAAAATTATCGCATAGATAATGCATAACTTCCTAAAAGACAATTACGTTTTAGATGCTCAATAGAAACTATTACTCGTTGAGTGTGCCGTCAATTTAGTGAACATTAATGTCTTGATTGATTTTAAACTCATTTAAATGTTGTAGCTGAAATTCTCATAATATTTTTTAATATTGGGATTACTTTGATAGGAGTTTTTAAGGACTACAGTACACATTATGCTTTTCATGTTGGAATGATTCGTCTGTCCAATACGTTTTGATTGTTATAGTTGCCTAATATAATCTGAACATTAATCTCCTTTGTTTTTTTTTTCTTTAAGTCGAACTTTTAGTATTTTCCAATTGAAAATATATTGTATTAGTTTACTTAATTAACCAAAATAAATGTATTTTTGACTTGTTCCATTTATTGCCCATATCCATGAGCTTTTGCTTTGGCATATGAACAGAAATTTGATACTAACGCACTTGTCACTTTGATAAAATGGTTCATGTAATAGATCTTTATCATCTATAATACTCTGTGTAATCTTATAGATTAGGATCATGGGCATGACGTCAATTAATTGGAGAAACGGCCCATTGACGAGTAAAATGGGCCGATATCATCAGTAATAATGGGCTAATGTAAAGCCCATTTGGTCATGTTGACAGACGAGACACTAGCGAATTGGATTCCTCAAGATATGGGAATTCACCTCTTACATTTTTCATGTTTGGAAAAAAAAATTTCAAATGTGGATTTTTAGTGTCTGCGCAAAAGAAAAATCCTCAAAAAGGTGCGATCAATAGCATCGAGATTTCTATAAGCACCTTAGTTTTGACTTAAAAACTTTTCAAGTTTGACTGACTATGTCCTTGGTTAAAACTTTGCTGAAAACTCGATTAGATAGCATGATTGAACAATATTTGTTGAGAACTTTTCAACCATACCCAATTTGCCTCATTCTAGCATTTGAATCATGAGAAATCACGTCTTTTGATATGGACGATCCGATCTTGGTGACATGCGCAAACTCAGTGATTTTTCTCTACACAAAGTCATATTTGTGAAGGTCAAGTCATAAGCTTTCCAGGCCTTTGATGGAAAGCAAGGGATGATATGATGTTGAGAAATGATATTGGAGAACTAGAGAACTGGACGTGAGAACTCTCACCTCGTTTATTGTTATATTTCTTTTATTTGCCGAACATTACACTATGACACAAGCCCTCTAACTTTAGAGCATTCACTCTTATTGATCAGTGGATTCGGGTGGTGATACTGTAGATACAAACTGTTACACAGAAATTGGTCTGCCTAACTCACCCATGTTCACGCTGATGCTCGACCTCAATGGCCAGAAGCTAAGACGATAGCAAGGCAAGTTCTCGTGGATGATGAGTAAACCCTTCACGGTAGTTCAACAGGTGTAATGTTCCATATGTCCCTGGCGTACTCGTGGATCGTTCTATCGCTGCTGAACTTGTATGATCCTGCTGTATTCAGAATTGACATCCTTGTCCATCTCTGCAAGACATGCGAACAAGTCGAGTGTGTAACTAAGCGTAGAGAACATTTGCATAATACACTCCAAAGACAGGTGCATCGACATGGTTTTGTACAGTGATCACCTTTTGGTCTTGATATGCCACATCAACTTCTTCTTGACATTCGATGTAACTAGGAAAGTCTTTGCCCACGAGAAAATAATCTGCTCGACCAAAACCCTCATTCCCTTCCAAAGATCCTATCATCTCATCATAATTGTAGGGCCCAAAAATGCCACTTCTGATGAACGCTTTGACTTCTTCAAATCGTGGGTCAGGAACGAACTAGATGGAGAGGATATAGTTAGTAAATCTCAGAGACAGTACATGCACACCCGGCTATTTAACTCAACCGAAACACCAGCTTCAATTTTTTCCTCCCGCCCAATCGTTTGTCTACTTAAGCTATAAGAAATCAGGCCTTCATCAAGCATATCCTTTAGCACTACCTCTCAAGTATAAGTCAAGTCTTACATATGAACAAAATGATGAACGTAACTTTATGAAACAGATAACCAAACACGAGAATAAAATGATAGGGATTCTAAGAAAATAGCAAAAACAGTTAGTGCGTTAAAATTTGAATTCTTGACATGAGCTCTAATGTCAAAGTACACAACTATTTGCCCCAAAGGCTGAAGTCAAATGGGTCACGAGGTTATATTGCATATATCTTCTACCAGCTTTCATGGTTTTTAGGTAGTTGATAGGTAGACATACCTTTCCCTCTGCTCTTTCCTTCCTAAGCCCTGCTATTTCGTGAGCTCGAGCACCGAAGAGAAAGAAGTTATCTTCTCCAACCTCTTGTCTTATTTCAACATTGGCGCCGTCCAAGGTTCCAATCAGGACACAACCATTCATTGCAAACTTCATATTGCTGGTTCCACTGGCCTCCATCCCAGCAGTACTGAAGAAGAGACAATCATGGATTATAAGTATATTTATATGGAAGAGGGTGAATTCCAGGCGCAGCAAAAATTAGAAACTGATCCAACAAATGTATTATTAACTCAGCAATAGTAGGATCTAATTGTATGGAAGGAAAGAACGAGATAATTTAATGGGCATGTAGGAGGCTTTATGCTCGTGCAAAGGTTGCACTCTGATCCCTAGAGGCTAATCAATCCCATTTCAACTTGGCAACAGGATCAAATGTGTTTCTTAAGATCAATATTCAGTCAACCCACTGAAGATACCAAGTGTTCAGAGTGGAACTCCAGTCAAGGTCCAACTCAAACTGTGATTTATCCGAAATAGACGATAGATGCATATCATCAGGTATAATAGCCATCAATTTGCCTGTTTCACAGTTTAATGCATCTGTGCCACTGTACAATGGCAGAATTTTCTAGTCTTTGTTACACATGCCGCCAATGGAACTTGTGACCCCGATAATTCCATCACAGGGATTAGGATGGAGGATTAAAAAAACTCAATGGACAAAACCCAAAGGAAATAGTTCTCTCTCACTTTTTTCTTCGGCAAACAGGAGGTGAAGTACCTGATGTGCTGTGAGAGCTCACTTGCAGGGATCAGCAATTCAGCAACGCTGACATTGTAATCAGGAACAAATACCACCTGCAATCAAAACAAGTACGGCGAACTGCATAATCCAAAGAAAAATAAAAAGGATGACCGATGGTCAAAATAAAAATATTCTTGACTATTAAGATCGCTCAAATATGCTGTACACAGATTCTCATACTATATCCGCTCCGAATGTGGTGATCATGAACAACGGCCCTATCCAAAATATAGTAGTTAGCACATGCCAAACAGCATCAACTTTGGGCCATGCAGGAGCCGCTACACGCCCAAATTAATCACATAGGAGAATGTTGCACCTTGATTCGCAAAATAAACTTAGAGGTGCCTATTTACACATGCCAAGAGCAAACAGTCAAAAGTACTCAACAAGTGTACAAACGGTTCAGAAATAGTGAATCTATTACAAATGGTGAGACAGCCATACCTTAAGCAAATCACCAATTTCAGGATCATGATTAATTGTTGCAGCAACATCTGTGATAAATTTTACAATCCTTTTAGCTTGCACGTATGTGGCAAATGCTTTTCCGCCAAAAATACAAACTCGCGGCACGAACTTAGCAATCCTCTCAGCAGGATTCATAGCTTTCATTTTCTTGTAGCGATAGACAATTCCAAATATGTTCAAAAGTTGCCTCTTGTACTCATGGATGCGCTTCACCTGAACATGTGGGATAGTGCTTAGTTAAGAAAGAGAACAATAAAATGAAACTCATTTGTACTACACCATACCACTGGAAATAGTTATGCCCTCAAGTGACATATATGCTCTGGCCAGAAGAAAAAAATTGACATACATGCATATTAATGAAAGCAGATCCTGCTAAGTGCTAAGCCCGTCCAAACCCATTTTTTTCACAAAGCAAATCCTGCTATATCCTTTATATATATGTTACACACTTGTGGCAATATAAGCACCATCATAGCAAATAAATCTTCCACAATTGTGGCAACATAAGCACCATCATAGCAAATAAATCTTCCACACTTGTGGCAACATAAGCACCACAACTGCAAATAAAATTTTCCACTATTGCAAGATGCAGTGGCAGAAGACCCATGTTCCATTGCAAAAATTCTCTTTTTTTTTTTTTCGTTTTAGTTTGAACCGTTAGTAATCTTGAACAGTAAATCTCTAGTCTATATTGACCCTTCTATGTTTATACACCCTCAAATGCCACTAAAACTTACATAAAATTCCATAGGAAGACAATAAGGCCAAAATGCCTTATAGCACACAATGCTGGGTGGTTAAACACCAACAATTGTACAAAATGAGCGTGGCAGATACAAAAATGCTTCTTTAAATGTGCGGGTATTCGAGGAAAGATAAGGCATGTGAAAGGAAGGCCTTTGGATGCTCCAATGAGGAGATATGATTATGAGATGGAGAGCATTTGACCTTTTTACCATTCAAATTATTCTACAGATTTAATATGGCTGTCAATTGCTCTAGAATCAGCAGTGAGGGGACAACATAGAAGTCAAAGTTTCCAATATATATAGAATAAGGGAAAAGTTATGTAGACATGAACTAGAATCTGGGGGTTCACCAAACTACCGCATTAAATCATCAAATCAGGTGTAGTATGAGTTCTACATTAGCCAACAAAGAATTGGGTGATATCAAATCCCCAAAGACCCCTATCACTTATAGTACCTGGAAACAAGATGAACAATACCTAAATTATCCTCTTACCAAAAAAATAACTACGAACTGATGATGAAAGGAAAAGTTTAGATGACTCTTAACTGTTCATATGGAAGTACTTGAGAAAATGTTTTCAAATTTAATATTCGCTCTTAAGCTGCTTTCACCACATGATCCTCGGTTTCCCCCCTCCCTCATAACACATTGATTAAAGCAGCCACCCTGAATGATGTCCTTTGTTCATAGAATCTGAAGGTTATCAAAACTCGCAGTCCTCTATATAACCATTGTGATGTGCAGCAATCCCTTTGCTCAGGAAAAAGTGTGGATCGCTGTAAGAAAAAGTGTCGCATTACAGCATTGTTTGACTGACATAGCTCAGAAAGACTGCAAATGGCCTTTTGTATGCCGGACTATTATTACTTGAACTTGCTGGAATTACCAACATGACATCAGTTGTTGCTCTTCCAGTGTAAATACTGGATATTTTTTATTGGCCTAGTGAAGAAATTACTGTTTTCAGTAATAAGAATGGTTCGGTCATGAGAATTTCTATATGCTGGGTTCCTGATGATAGGCATGTTGCCAGTAGCTCAAATAAACTCCTTATCCAGCTATGGTATTTTGCAGCTAAAGCCAGATCTTCCGGTCACTACTAATTGCTGATTTTTCTTCTCTGTCTAACTTTTGGCTGATTTTGTTCTATTTCCTTTCATTATGTTTCACTTAGCTGAGGATATTGGGAGGGCACGTCGGAACGAGTGGGGTTCCCTGGCTTGGATCGTCCACATTGTGCCAACAGGAGGAACAGATAAATCATCAAAGGGACACAACTTTTTGGGGTTTGAAAAGGTTTTGCATCCAGCAAACAGCAAGCTAGCACAGGTAATGCTAATCCGCTATGGTTATGTGATAGATCAATAGGCAGGCCCCACAGCTCATGCCGGCAATGTGCTCACATGTTTAAGGCTGAATGATTGCTCTTATAAGTCCATGGTGCCCATTCAAGATGACCAGTAGACATCAGGAGTCAGTGCAGTGACTGTTGAACTAAAATTTAGATGTGCACAGGGATTTTTGCTTGAGCAAGCTCAACAGTGGTTCTCGTGTGCATGCCCAGAGAAGGAGTAATAGCTAAAGTGGATTGCCAAACATCATGACTTAGGAAGAATCAGCTCATTAGTGCTCAAGATGGCATGTTGTAAGAGTTTATTGTTGTTGCATTACAAGCTTTTGGGAAGCTGCTTGCTCAGTTGTCAATCTATAAATGGATAATTAGTTCTTATGCAAAGTGTACATGGATGCACATAAACAGTAGCATTTAAGTTGGTCTCCTGTTTCAAAATGTTGACTGATTTCCCGAACTTAAAAATTGGTTTCAATTGCGAGTGAGAAAAAATATGCTCTTTCAAATGTTTGATTGATGGTTTCAGATGACTGCAAAGATTCTAAACGATATGAATTTGGGTATCAACATTAGAGGGCTCATATGGAACGCACATGTCTGCCTACGAATTACTGACCAGGATTAGAAATGAGGACAGAGACCAGAATATTACCTGAATATCAAACATCGCATCAGGGCTAACAGCATATCCAGTTTTCTCCTTAAGGAATCTCACAACCTTCATTTTGTTGCTCCTCTTTGCTGCCCTCCATTGGGTCTGAAGATCCTCATTATCTGCAAACTGGAAAATGGTACCATGTAAGAATTTACCTCTCAAGTCCATACATCACTAGGATACCACAAATGCTACTTCCTCAATGACATTAGTTCAAACTTAACGGCAGTTCTCCATCCAAGCAAAGCATCAATTACTCGGAAAGAAACTGCAACTTCAATCCATCCTCCTCCCAATGCATCAAAAAAGAAAGGTGATTTGCACAGGAAAGTGATGGCAATAGGGTATATTCAGTCAGAAGAGACCACAAGAAAAAAATTGAAGGTATCTCAGAATTTGAAGATCGGGGCTGATGAATCACCTTACGCAACTCAGCTAGTTTATCTGTGCAGAGGATCCAGTCTTCTGTGCCAATCCATTTCGTCATAATTTTACTTAAAGTAGGATTGCAGAAACGAATCCATCTTCTCGGTGTCACCCCATTTGTTTTGTTTTGAAATTTTTCAGGCCATAACTGCCAAAGATCAAGAGAACAGATTAAGTAGACATTGTATTGAGGATACTGTACAATGAACTTGAGACTTCTATTAAAATACTCAGTGGATTCATATTTGGAGTTTAAGGGCTATTAAAGCAGAAAGGCAAGCCAAAGAAAAGTTTTACCGTAAAGAATTCATGAAACACTTCCTTCTTTACGATTTCACTGTGAATCTCAGCAACACCATTTACAGCACGACTGCACACCACACAGAGATTAGCCATCCGAACCATCTTAGGAGGCTCAGGTTCAGGCTCAGGTTCAGGCTCAGGTTCAGGCTCCGGTAATTCTTCATTATTCTCCTGAGCTTGTACATTATCAGGTTCATCTTCACGATTAATGTTAAGTTCTTTGGAAGTTTCTGGTTCCTTTTCAAAAGAAGCAACAGGATCCTCTTCTGGTTTTATAAACTCAGCAAAAGCAGGCGGCAAATCAACATTTTCCAGTATCCTCATTTCCTTCAATTTTTTCTCCAGTAAAACAGGATCTTTGGTACCACATTCTGCAATTATTGTTCCAACCAGCTGCGAAGTAACATATTAGCAGGACAAAGAAGAATTTGAAAGACATCAAAAACAGGTAAATAAAATCGGGAAATGTCCATTGTATGGGTACTAATTTTTCCTAAAGGGTATCAGTATACCTCTTCATCAATCATCTCTATAATCTCAACATGCCGAGGAAGAAGCGCTTGCATAAGTTCTAAACTCCATTTTTCAAGTGCTTCAGGCAAAACGGTATGGTTTGTGTACGCCACAGTCCTTGGATCAGCAAAAGAGAAGTACACATTTATCACTAATATTGGTAAATTTCTATCAAATTATCTAAGAAGAACAAGAGAGGAGCAGCTTTAAGCAAATTAGACTGTTGGCCAAAGAAAAAAATTAAATTAAGCTCTCACAGGACAGAGTTTCACAGACCACAAGTTGCACAATTGAAATGTTGGAAGATGCATACATTAAACTAATTACAAGGCTCCTTACCAAAAAAAAAAACTAATTACAAGGCTTATGAAATCCATCAACCCCATGTTCTAGCCTAAAAAGTCATATTCATCTCTGTTTAATTCTATTAAACTTATTACCTCAGGGAGCGAACTTCCAAATTAGTATGTCGTTTCGCTTTCAAGTATTTTGGTTTGCCTTATGAGAAAGCTACATGTTCAAGGCATGACATGGCATGGGATTTCTGATACTTTTTCCATTTCCATAGAGTGCGAAAGCCCCCCTAAAATTGCGCAAAACATCCCCATAGAGCGGCCAATCTCTTTCCTTTCTCTGTGCTTTGTCTTAAAGTGCTTTCTTCTTCTTTTTCTTTATATCTTTTTTTTTTTTGGGGGGGGGGGTGGTGGTGGGAGGAAGGTATTGGTATTGAGGGAGAGAAAAAACGGCATAAGCATAATCATAATCATATAACCTGCCTTCTATCCACTCTTAAGGTTGCCCATGCTATTCGCTAATTAGGGAAGATCTATCTTTTCATAATCCAGAGTTCAACCCTATGCTATGCACGTAGATTATTGGTTGATGAAGGATTGATGTCATGAGACAGGAACTTTCAAAGCCTAATCACCACGATTCTTTTGTTATGCTATCTTCTATATCCAAAGGAAATAGCCTATAATGTCAAATACAAAGATATGCAGTTTTTATTCTTTAAATATCTTAAAATTATCCAATTCACAAAGGATACAGAGATGACCGGCAACATCTCGTCTTTAAGAATGTGGCTTCTAACAGAAGACTGTTCAAAGTTCATCAATGGTAACCACATTAAAGTAGCGATGACTACAGTGACAAACAAACTTTCTCCAACAAAGTGATGTCTGTTACACATATCTCATTTTGCCATTGCACCTATTTAGTACCTTCAACAAACTCCAAATAGAAATGAAAAGGAAGAAACAAGTGAGATATTCCACTGCTTTAATGCTCTTCTAAAGCTAGAGGAAATAAAATTTGTTCTCTGGATTCACATAGTGTCAGAAAATATACCTCCTAGTAATATTCCAAGCTTCTTTCCAGCTTAGACCTTTAACATCCATTAAAATCCTCATCAGTTCTGGGATGCATAGTGTTGGGTGAGTATCATTCATCTGCACTGCAACCTTCTCAGGGAACTCTTCCCATTTTACATATGTTCCAGATCGCTTTTCAAAACGAGCAATAATATCTTGAAGAGATGCTGAACACAAAGTATACTGCTGCTTGAGGCGGAGGATCTTTCCCTCAATGGATTCATCACCAGGATAGAGTATATGGCAAATCTGACATCAATAAAAATTATTAGCATCAACCCAAAAGAATCCTTAATCTATGCAACTTAATAGAGAATCTAACAATGTTAGTGCAACACTGAAGACCAGTTCTGGACATTGTTAGCCAACAGAGTCATGTCTGAGACTAAATTATTTTGGCCATGACAGTGGACCACTTTGAAATGTATCTCAACAACTACAGGGACAGAAAAGAAGGCAGTGCCAAAGAAAAATCTCAATCCTCTCAAGCACAAGGGCTTGGCCTAGTTGTAGCCTAGCTAACCTCACCAAAATCTAAGAGGTCTTGGGTTGGATTCCTATATTCCCTTGCGCATCTTACCCAGGGAAAAAAAGCCATAATGAGGATTCCCATAATCCTAACTATTGACTATCTTCAGACCAAGTAGACAAACAAATTACATGTTCAGTAATCCATCAGCCATATTCAGCCATTCTGTTTATCTCAGAGAATAATGAATCTATATTTGAGAATTGGATGAGAGGTCACTAGCAACAAATTTATATGGAAAAAACCCCCGGAGAACAACCTTTTCAGCATTCGACAGTGCCTCATTTGCTTTAGTGTGCTCTCCAGCATTAAAAGCGGATAAATCGAATTCTTCAGAAGGAACTTTAGTGGACCAAAGCCGCAGATTGATGGTAGTTTTAGTCTTATAACCAGGAATTGGGACATCAAATGCAACTGCACGTATATCTTCTCCCCCAATCCAGCATCTTTTACCATCAGATCCCAACACAACCTTGCCATAGAATTTTACAGGATAGGAGACATCATTTCTCACGACTTCCCACGGATTTCCCATCTACAGAGAGTAAGCACAATGAGATCACCAATGATGTAAAGAAAATCCAAATAAATCATGTTCAGATTACCATCATATAAATGGAATAATGAGTAGAAACAACAGCATAAAACAATCATGGGAATAAATACGATAATATGGAATCCAAGTGAAGTACCAAAAACAAATGATATAATAACATCATGAAGAAATCAGGTGTGGCTGAAATTAAAAAATAATGCAAGCAGAAAGGTTATTTGTTAAAGAAAACCCCAAATTAAACTCCAAAAATAGAATTCACAATAGTTAAATTTTAGTGTTGTACTTAAGCAAAGGTGGTTCTAGCGAAAAGGAAAAATGAAATTCTAAACCTATTGCGGAACTTGAAATTAAATAGAAGGGACATTTCAGCATACCTCAAGCCAGCTTTCCGCGACTTCCTCTTGACCATCTTTAGTTATCTGTTGCTTAAATAAGCCATACCTGTATCTAAGTCCATAACCCCAAGCTGGATAATTTAAAGTTGCCAGGGAGTCCAAAAAGCAGGAGGCAAGACGCCCAAGACCCCCATTTCCAAGTGCAGCATCAGCTTCCTACCAATATTAATTGCAATTATAAGTGACTTTTGATGGTCTATATAACAACCAAAAAGTATGTACTGATTCATAGGTGACATAAAGCAAACAACTAAGGATTGAGATCATGGTATAAGCCAGAGATTAGCAGGTCAGGCTTTCAAAAGGCAGCGATTAAGAAGGCTTATATTCAGGCAATGAAATGAAGCCTCAGGGCAAAACGTCAATCTGTACACCTCCTGGATCGTCCGTAAATTGACCCCATGTACTTAAAAATGAGTGATATATCCCTCCATCCACCTTGTTAGGTTATCATCACTTCATTAAAATGTACATGAGGTCAATTAGAAAGAGTTGATTAAGTACATGGAGTCATTAACTTCCAACTTCCTAGAGATAGCAGGTAATGGCATGTCTTAACTAACATTAGGGAGTAGGGGTCAGCAGATGATGATCAGAAAGTTGATGGATGAAGGGCAATATATACATTTTCAAGTTTTTTGTTTTGGTCAGAATACATTTTCAAGTTGAACAGCAGGATTTAGCAACAGAAAACTGCCGAGTTACAAATGACCCTCTGGCCCAAATAAAAAAGGATATAAATGACTGAAAGAAGTCTCGACGGTTTTACCTAGATTAAAGATCGATAGATCTTTAGCCAACATCATCATGATATTTGCACCGTCATTGTTATAGTGTTAGTACAGTACAAACTAGCTCAATTGTAGCAGTAAATATCACTATGCAAAAATGAAGCAACAGTATCTAATCCAAAATAAGCGACAAGCGCAATATACCTGGACTGCAACATTTTCCAGGTCATGCCCAAGTTTGCTTAAGGCCTCAGCATATGCACCTGTGAGCTCCAAGTTACCAATTGCATTTAACAGTGCTCTTCCCTACACAAACCACACTAATGAAGCTATAATTTTTTGAGGATAAGTGGAACATAGCTCTACTCTTTACATGAAGCAATTTCGGTGCCAAACCTGTAGAAATTCCATTGACAGATAATATGCTTGCTTTACGTTCAACTTTTCACAGTAATCATATGTTGCATTCCAATTAATGATGAGAGCATCTCGGACACTTTGAGCAGTTGCAAAGAACGCCTTCAGAAATTCAAATTTATCAGGAGAAAAGGGAGCCGTAAATTCCGCATGATATTTGATACTTGAGGCAATGGATGCAGCATCTGGCTTGAGAGGACTCGGACTGCTTGGCTCTTTACACCATGAAAACAAGAAATAGAGTTAATGCCTGCAAATGGAAGGTTAACTACATATTAATATGCTAAGCTGTAGATATATCACCCTCGTTTTGCAGTTATTCTCAGAGCCCCCACAAAGATTCAATGTGTATTTTGAGCTTTTTTTTTTTTTTTTGATGACCCAGGGAACCCCCGTATGGCCGACAGCCGGGAGGTAAACCCTGGGGGCGACACGTGCTAGCCACCACACACGTACACCGGTTAAGTCACCCTGCGGCACCCGGGGTTCGAACACTCAACCTTTTGCGAGAAGAAGAGTGCACGCTCCAGCGGCGCCACCCTTCGAGCTTTAATCTTGCCACTAAGTAAAAAAATGTCAAGGCTAAGGACCCAACTAGTCCTCCCTCTAGAAACCCACAAATTCAGTGGAACAACCTCATTGCTTTCTCTTCATGAGTGAATAAATGAATAATGCAGCCTCAACCAGAGATATCAACCTTCCATTTTGATTTTTTTTAGGCCGCCACTCTACTATTTAAAAGCAATGAGCAGAACAGATTTTAAGGACATGAGTGAGTCCTATTTCTGACTTACCCGAGTGAGATGCTTCACTCTGCCATAAGTAAGACATTGTAGGTTTTTTCAAGTTAATTTACTTTAACTTAATCAGAAAAACATGAGAGACCGACCAGACCAGACCAGACCAGACCAGACCATCCGCTCGCTTGATGTGGGCAAATTCTTGCCTAGCCTGGTCTATGGTGGACAGCATGAAATCTCGGCCATTGATCATCTGGATTCCACACGGGTCCACAACATCCAACCATTGTGATTCACCCAGGCCATGTGGATCCATGCAAGTATCTCCATAGGATGGGTCTGTTGCCAAAACATGTACCTCCTCTGCCCATCTATCAAAAGTTACCACGTGAACATCAAATGATCCAGACTACCAACAGGAACAGCTCTGCCATTCAGTTCACTATCAATTCCTTCCTCTGAGCATCCTCAAAAGTCGCACACAAACCAGATCAGAAACCGATTGAACGGGTATTTCCTTAGCGAGCATCACTACTGGTCACTTAAATTCATCCAAATCATCGGTTCGTGACCCATGATCACTTTCTGTCGTTGAGAAGGCAACATGTCGTACTCAATCTTATCCTCACAGAAAACTCTATCAAGAAGTGACTCGACTAGTATAATGATTAAGTATCGGATAATTGAGAAATTAAAGCCAATCTTAACTTCGGCACCCAATTTCGCATTTTTTCCCAGCACAACATCAACCGTTTGAATTCACAAAAGCGAGAGAAAGATTAGCTTCGAGTCAAATCAGCATTCTCATCCAGCACTGTGCTCACTGCGAATATGCACGCACTGAAAACCGGAATCTCTCCTAATCACGACGATCGCAAAATGAAAACCAGAAGAGCCAAAAAAACAAAAGAACCAGAATGCAAATGACCGATCGAGAGAACGAAGATGCATCATCCGAGCCAAAAACAGACATGAGCAGTGTAACATCGAAAGTCGAGACACCTTCGTCGAGTGGCGAATCCTCGAGCCGCGGCTTCGGCTCGCTGGACACGCTCGTCACCGTCAGAGGCCTCCCCGTCCGGAGCGGCCTCGCGTTCCGAGCTCGGAACAAGAGCGCCGGCTTCTTCCCCCCGAGGCCGCGGCCAGAGCCGAGCGACCCGCGCAGGTCGTCGCGGCGCCGCGGAAGGCGCTCGCGGCCAGAAGGCGGTGGCGGCGGCGGCGTCGTCGTCGTCACCGAGAGCTGCAAAGCCGCCATCGCCGGAGAACGAGCGAGGATTTCAACGTGAAGTCGAAGGTGACTAGCTATCGTTCACTCGCTTAATATCATAGTAATGGAGTCCGCTCTAAAAAGTTGAATCGAATCCCGAGGTCTCTCGAAGTTCGAGGTGATATCCGCCTCGGGGCGAGGTCCCTGGCTTGGAGGCCTCTCATTGGTTAACCGGGCGACTTCCGTTTAGCCGAGGGCGGTGGAGGCATCTCATTGGTTGCGGGTACAGCGAGTGCAGCTAGGACCGTAGAAGGTGATGGCGCAGATCTTTTCGGAAAATGACATTTGTAACGAGACGTTTACTTCTCTGACCCGAAAAAAAGGTTTCTTTTTATTTTTCTTCCTGATCCCCTTGGGAGCATTTGCAGAGGCATGTGATGATACGCTGTACACTTTCTCCCAGTCACAGGACATCAAAAAGTTGCAAAAACTTTTTGAAATAATTGGATTTGAAGCGTAAAATCTTGTCATGAAAATTGCATTAAATCCTAAAAATTATCACAAAGCGAAATTAAGTCTCAAAACTTATTACGAAAGTGCAATTGAATCTTACAACTTTCAAAAAGTGGAATCAAGTGCTAAAACTTATCATGACAGTGCAATTAAGTCATAAAACTTTCAAAAAGTGAACTCAAGTCATAAAACTTATTACAGAAAGACTTGATTTAATCAATTTGACAAATTTTAGAACTTGATTGCACTTTTTAAAAGTTTTGGGACTCGATTACATTTCAATGACAAGATTTAAGACTTGATTGCACTTTTTGAAAGTTTTAGGACTCAATTGTACTTTTATGATAAGTTTTAGGACTTCCAATGCACTTGATAAAGAAGCCGGCTGAATATGTGTGAATATTGATGGAAACTCCTTCCTCATGTGGAAAAGTACCTAATGTAGAATTATTTAGGCAAAAGTACACCACAAGTGCCATAACTTGTGTACGGCGATCACTTTGGTGCCATAACTTTTTTTGGATCACTTTGGTGCCAAGTCGGAGGAAAAGATATCACTTTAGTGCCAATTTGGCCGGAAATCCGACGTGGCATTTTTTATTAATTTTTTACACCGACGTGGCTCGCCGGAGGCTGAGTCAGCGTGTACAGTCAGCATTTTTAATTTTAAATAAAATTTTCCAGCGTGTACAGTCAACATTTTTAATTTTAAATATTTTTTTTCCTTTTTTTTTTCTTTTCTTTTTTTTCTTTTCTCCCCTCGTCGGCCGGCCACCGGCGAAGCCCGAGAAGGGCTGGGCGAGGCTTGCCCATGGCCGGCGAGGGGTGGCCTTGCCAGATCTGGGCGAGGCGACCCTCGCCGGCGACGGGCGAGGCCAACCCTCGCCGGCCCAGGCGAGGCCGCCCTTCGCCGACCCAGGCGAGGGCGACCCTCGCCGGCGTCGGGCGAGGGTCGCCCACACCTGGGCGGGCGTGGGCGACCCTCGCCCGACGCCGGCGAGGGCAGCCCTCACCTGGGCTGGCGAGGGGCGGCCTCGCCTATCGCCGGCGAGGGTCGCCTCGCTCAGATCTGGCGAGGCAGCCCCTCGCCGGCCATGGGCAAGCCTCGCCCAGCCCTTCCCGGGCTTCGCCGGTGGCCGGCCGGCTAGGGGAGAAAAGAAAAAAAAAAGAAAAGAAAAAGGAAAGAAGAAAAAAAAAAGGAAAAAAGATATTTAAAATTAAAAATGCTGACTGTACACGCTGGAAAATTTTATTTAAAATTAAAAATGCTGACTGTACACGCTGACTCAGCCTCCAGCAAGTCACATCGGCGTAAAAAATTAATAAAAAATGCCACGTCGGATTTCTGGCCAAATTGGCACTAAATTGATCTCTTTTCCTCCGACTTGGCACCAAAGTGATCCGAAAAAAAGTTATGGCACCAAAGTGATCGCCGTACACAAGTTATGGCACTTGTGGTGTACTTTTGCCGAATTATTTATGTAGAAATTACTACATATGTGTGTATTACTAGTATTTCGAATTTGACTAATTGTGTACAATTTCGGTACTTATAAAATCAATATCGATAATTATCAGAACTATGGAGAAATTAATAAATGCTTCAATTCTAAAAAAAAGGTAATTTTTCTATATAAAGAGTTTCGATCGAGTTTGAGAATTGACTAGCAATTGATAGCTTCAAAATTAATTTTAATTTCTCTTGCCACGTAAAAGTAAGTGTTTTGTCAAAAAAGAAAATAGAAAATGTAGTAAACTTGCTCATTCACTTTTTTCACAATATGAAGTATCTGAATCTCTAGATTTGACTAATTTCTATAGATGCATGTATGTGCTCCTATTCACGTCCAATAAGTAAAGCTACGCTCATGGTGGTCAAGATTACTTTAAGAGGGAAGCACTCAGATCTGAATGCGAGATCTATCGTGTACTTGTGTTTCACTTAAACTGCTCCTTTGATCAATTTTGAAAGCTACTAACTACTATATGTACTTTTAATATGAAAATATTACCTTCGTGATTTATTCCAAATGAATGGGAATTTAGGCTCCGTTTGTTTGGCGGAAATGAATAATTTCGAAAACATTTTCAAAACAATAATCCTTTGTATCGGTTGAAATAATTAGTTAACGGAAATGTTTTTATTGTCGACAATAATTTATGTCTCAATATTTTATTGGACGATGAAAATATTTTTCATTTGTTCATTTTTGTGCGCAATATAAATAATCATTTTAGGAAAATATTGTTCAACCGATTCATTTTTTGAAAAACAAACGGAGCGTAATAGCGTTGAAAGATTACTTAACTAACTTCTCATAATTTGTAGTTCCTCGGAGGTAAAATTTATGAACTAATGCATAAAAATTTCTTATTGCAAGAAGAGGAAACTTGCCTTTGAAATATAAAATTAATTAGCTAATGTATAAAAATTAATTTATGATACTTTTGAAGTTACTTTTGGTTTTAGGAAGTTACAACAAATGTGAAAAATTACTAATAGCCCGTTATGGGAGAAATAACAACCGCACTATGGAAAGTTGCTAAAAAATGTGGAAAGCTTTCTTTTCTGTAACACGTAGAAAGTTCGTTTTCTACGCAAAAAAGTTACGAAAAGACGTTTAAAAGTTTTTTTTTAGGGTTAATACCACGAAAAATCTCAAATTGGTACAGCTGTGATAATTTTATCCGAACTAATTTTTTTACCATAAAAAATCCAAAACTTGTACACTTGTAACAAATTTACCCCAAACTAATTTTTTGACCACGAAAAATCCTAAACTGATACACCTGGAACAATTTTACTCCGAACTAATTTTTTGACCATCAAAAACCCCAAACTGATACATCTGTGACAAATTTACCCCGAACTAATTTTTTGACCACAAAAAATCTCAAACTGGTGCACTTTTTACTCTCCTTTAAATTGGATAAATATCACGAAAAATCACAAATTCGTAAACTTGTGACAAACAGAGGGGTAAAACCCCAAACTAGTATACCCATTAACTATCATGTGCCATCAAACTCAGCAATTTGATAATAAAATTTAATGAAAACTAACAGAGGATAAATTTGTCACATGTATACCAGTTTGGGATTTTTTGTGGTCAAAGTTCGAAGTAAAATTATCATAGGTATACCAGTTTGGAGTTTTTCGTGGTCAAAAAATTAGTTCGGGGTAAAATTATCACATGTGTACCAGTTTTGGGTTTTTCGTTGTCAAAAAATTAGTTTATGGTAAATTTGTTATAGGTGTACCAGTTTGGGATTTTCGTGGTATTAACCTTTTTTTTGTCATTTTTTTTAATATCTCATAGTTCAATTGACTTCAAAAAGTTACTTATTTTTTTAGAAAATTAATAATCACCAAATGTTAAAAAGCTTACTTTCCATCGAATGGAAAGTACCTACTAACTCGTGATTGATGTAAAGTTGATTTTGGAATTTGACAAAATTACTCAAAACATGGGAAAAATTACAAATAACTTATAGTTATAGAATAAGATTTACTTTTCTGATGGTAAAACTTACTAAGAAATATGAAAAAGTTACTTCCAATAACAAAGGGAAACTTTTGATTATTTTAAAGTTACTAACTTTTAATGGAAACTTAAACTAAACAAACTTCTTTTCTAGTGTTTAGTAATTGTACATGTAAAAATTAATTCTTCATATGTTATTAAATTTTGTTGTAATTTGTCGCTACAAGATGTAACTTTCGTAATATTAGTTGTTAGTAACTTTGAATGAGAAGTCATCGATTTGTTTAAAAAAAAACTTACTCGAAGTATCTTTTCAACATTTCTAAAGAAATCGGGATATGTTACATTTCATAGGCTTGCACATCTATCTGTAAATTCTCAAAAATGCAAGTTTTTCTAGTGTTAGTAACTTCGATAAGTTGTTACTAACTTTTTCAATGTAAACGTAATTTATTGTAGTTACCAGTGAATTTCCAAAGTGATTTAACTTTGGATGCAAACTTACTCAAAGTAAGACTCCGTTTGTTTCACAGAAAATGAATGATCTGGAAAACAATTTACTAAAACCGATCGCTTGAAATAATTAGCCAATGAAAATTGTTTCATTATCGATAATAATTTATGTCTAAAATTTTGGTGGACAATGAAAATTTTTTTCGTTTTCTCACATTTGTAAACGATACAAGCGATCATTTTTTGGAAAATATTTTCCAAATCATTCATTTTCCACGAAACAAACAAAACCTAATTTATGAACAATCTAAGAAAATTGGAAGATCACATTCCATAAACTTTTCACATTGCAAGTTTTCTCTTTTCAGTAATTAGTAATTTTGGTAATTTGATAGTAGCCTTTTCATTTTAGAATCACTTTTGAATAATGAATAAGCTTCTTAAGTGTTTTGTAATTTCTCAATACTTTACCCTCAGTTTGTTTCCGTTAAACTTTATTGTCGAATTACTTTGTTAAATGACACGCGACAGCTAACTGATGTATTCGTCACAAGTGTATCAATTTATGATTTTTTGCGGTATTAATTCAATTTAAAGAAACTAATGGAGGGTAAATTTGTCACAAATATACCAGTTTGGGGTTTTTAGTGGTCAAAATATTAGTTTTGGGTAAATCTGTCATAAGTATACCGGTTTGGGATTTTTTCATGGTCAAAAAATTAGTTTTGAGTAAAATTATTATGGATGTATCAGTTTTGGGTTTTTCGTGTTATTAACCCTAAAGTTAGTAAATTTTTAAGAAACATGTTTAGAACCATGTGGACAAGTTCCCATTTGCTTTCCACTTACTTGATCCGATGGTGATCCTTACTTCCTCCAAAATAAACGGTGTTGATTGCTCACGGATGAAAATCCTTAAAAGTGGCAATGGGAGCACATAACCCCCCTTTGAAATTTGATAACCAGAAAAAAAAAATTAAAAGTTTTAAAAACGAGAGAAAAAATCATATGTGCAATTATTGATATATTGCATATTTCATATTTAAAATAATGACAGCAGCAAGAAGAGAAAAAAATAGAAGGCACGTAAAACAAAATATAACGAAAAAGGTTTTTGATTTATTTTAAGTGTGCTAAATCTTTAAAAGATCGTATTAGAGTCCATTCGTCCTACATGCATGACACATAAATATGTGTTGCAATTTTTACCAATGCAAATCAAAGCATATTTTATTTCATGGTTAAGGATCTGACTGACATATGTATGTAAATTAAGCACACGACACAAGTTTAAATCTCTGTATTGCCAAGTGCAAACAATTTCAAATTTGAGCCATTCACTTGAATTTAGAGCATCGTTTTAAGTATTCTATGAGGTTGATAGGATCAAAGCCTGGAACTTACCTATCCAAAATTTTTCTTGTCATGGGAGAATTTTATTGTGAGAAGAAGTAATGAAGACAATGGATTTTTATGTTAAAATGATCATTTTATTTTTTTATTTTTTTGTCGAATTTAACGATGGTGAATAAGTTATCCAGGAGATTTTGAAGAAAAAAAGAGAGATCCTCGCAAAACAGGAGGTTCCCTTCCTTTTTAGAGTATATGTAAAATCACCTTAAAAGTTATTTTATACTATTGCAAAAAACTAAAGTATTATTTTTATTTTTGTTAGAAATTCATAAGTTAGCTTAGAGAAGGTTCATTCCAATGCCATTCCCATAGCACTTCGCTTTGCCACTGTGTTTGTCACCGAAAATGACGTGGTACAGTTTTGCCATAGGAAAAGTGCCAAAAAAGTCATAAACATATTGCATTTATACAAATTTAGTTCTAAAATTTTCAATTAGACTAATTTTAATCCTAAACCTTTTCACATTAATAACAATTCAATCAATTCAATCAATTTATGCCAAAATCGTTGACGTGGACGCTGGCCGTCCCACGTTGACACGGCCAGCGCTGACGTGGACATTTTTAATAATATTTTAATATTTTTTGAATTTTGAATAATTTTTTAATTTTTTTTCCTTTTTCCCTTTATCTTTTTTTTTCCTTCTCTTTCCTTTGGCTATGGCCGGTTCTTGCCATGGCCAATGACCCGCCATAGGCGAGGATCGCCCTCGTTGTACTGGCTTGGGCTCGACCCTCGCGGCCTGAGCAAGGGTCACCCTCGTTGAATCTAGCAAGGGCCACCCTTACCTAGGCTGCGAGGGCACTCCTTACTTGTGGCTGGCGAGGGCTGCCACATCCTTGTTGGCCATGGTTGAGTACCAGCCATAGACCAAAGGAAAGAGAATGATAAAAAAGGAAGGAACAAAGGAAAAAAAAGAAAAATTCAAAAAATTATTAAAAATGTCTACGTCAGCATTGGTTGTGCCATGTAGGACGCTTGGCATCCTCGTCTGCGATTTCCGACCTCAGTTGGTACCAATGTGAAAATATTCAGGACTAAATCGGTTTATTTGAAATGTTTATGATTGAATTGACATAAATACAACTTTTTTTGAGTACTTTTCCCGTTTTACCACTTGGCGCACATTCAATCAATAAACTCTTAGTTTAATGCCGTCTCATGTCAATTTTTACTTATTAAAGAAAATACATAAATTTTCAACTAAATGATTTGTTGACCAATAAATTTTTAGCTTTTCTTGTTTTGCCACTTGGCACACATTCGTCTCCCATGTCGGACTCTCCAATTTCAAGCCACGACACCAACACATGCTAAGGAAAGTTGATTTCCTTATTTTGTTTGGAAATTTAGTGCAATTGGTACTTTCTTTTACCATGTCACATCCAAAGAGTCAGGTGGTCCGCCTTTGAATTGGATCTCATTCACGGCCTCAAATTTGGGATTCTTTTAACATATGACTACATAATAAACAATCACATTAGAAACAACCCACGAGATAAACGATTGATCCGTGACATAAATATTTCAATTTGCCATCAATATGCATGTCGCATGTATTTGTCGTATCATATTAAAAAGGTTAGGTGGCCGGGGAATGGTCGGGGCAAAGTTTGAGTTTGCACCATTTCAGGCGAGCTGAGCCAAGCCCTAAGCTTTGCATGATATCCCGACATATATCTATAGCTATGTCCATATGTGTGGGACAATTTCTTCCCTGGGCTTGGACTCATAAAAGTTGGAGATCTAATAAGACTCATGGGGATTTCACGGACCCACTCAAAGATACACATTATGGAGAGAAACACCAATTTAATCTTGGTGAAAAGCCACATAAAACCTTAAATCATATTTACTGTGATATATTTACCATAAATTTTTTTTTGCAATATCAAAGATCCCAAATTTGTATTCGTATGATACAGTTAATGAGGACCGTTAAAAATCTGCCCACATGAACATTAAAAAGCAAACGGTGCTAACATGGTGCCCACGCGGCTTAAGCTAAGTTAAAAAAAGTTGTTGTTTTGGCTGAAAAATTATTTAGCGGAATCTCGATAGATGGTAAATGTGTCAAATAGGTATAAGTTTGGAGTTTTTTATATCACAGGAAAAAGCTTATAGTATATGTGTCACGATATAATTCGGGGTAAATATATCACGATTGATGTAATTCGAGATTCTCCGTGATTTTTTCCCTTCAATCTTTTTCCAAAAAGGTGTTTTTATTTTTATTTTCCGGGGGCCACTTTGACCGAAGGATAGAATCGCCAAGTTTAGAAAAGAGCTGAGGAAAAGAAGCAAAAACACTCGGGCACGTGCGAGCATTTCGTGCTCGCCCATTAACGGGAAGAGGGCGGAGGAGAGAGAGAGAGAGAGAGAGAGAGAGAGAGACCCCCTCAGATTTTAGCTCCCGGGTCAAAGTCAAACCTCTCCCTCTCCCTCTCCCTCCCCTCCCCCCTCCAAAACGCAACACGGTTTTGACTCTTCAAAATCTTTTCGAATTTCCTCCTCCCCGAAAAATAATACCCCTTTTCTTTTATTCCCGAAAAATCAAATTATTATTGACTTTTCCAACTTGGGTGAAAAAATAAATAAATAAAATAAATCCGAGAGAAAATAAAGCTACACAAAACCACCGTCAGGCGAAGCGCATTTTCTCTCTCCTCCTCCTCCTCCCTCCCTCCTTCCTCCCTCCCTTCTCTCTCTTCCGTGGGCGAGAAGTGCCCGAAATCTGCAACGGGGAAATAGCTTCTCAATTTGATTCCTCCGATCGTTCGAATCCCATTCGTCGGATCGAATCGACGTCAAACGCATGCGCTCGATCTCCGATGCGGTCTTGTCCGACGCCCCGAGGAGGTAGCGGAGTCATCGTCGTCGCCCCGGCACAGCCGCGCTCGCGCTTCATCGGGAGATCCGACCGCGGGATCGAGGATCGGCGCCGCGCCTGATGGTGGGCCCCGCGGGGCCGTCAGCCTCCTCGCCGGTCTCTAGCCGCCGCCGCCGCCCCGGCCTCGGGGGAGGCGGCGCTCCCGTCGCCGCCGCCGGGGAGGTGGGGCTGCGCCCAGGACCATGCAGCTTCACTTCTCGCCTAGCATGAGAAGCATTACGATATCGAGTAGCAATGGGTTTGTTGACTTGATGAAGATCAAGGTCGCAGCTCGCCACATCTCCTACCGGACCCTCTTCCACACCATTCTCATCCTCGCTTTCTTATTGCCGTTCGTGTTCATACTCACCGCCGTCGTCACCCTCGAAGGCGTCAACAAGTGCTCCTCTTTCGGTAAATTTCCTCGGTTCCTTATGTCGTCCTGTTGTTGATCGCGCGGCGGATATATTTGGTTTGCCGCGTTGGTGTTGGTTTCGTGTGGCAATGTGTGATGGACCTGGACATTGCGAGCCTTTGTCGATCCGAATCGGTTAGGATTGGATTAGTTTGCGAATTGGGCATTTGGCGCAGCGTGTTGTTTGTTTGACATTTAGATTGGCAACTTCACCTGTTTGATTTTGTGGGGGTGGATTTGAATATTGTTGCGCGTGAATTTGCAATACGAGATGCTATGCGGACCGTGTTATTGATAAGATTGTTTCATTCTTGATGTCCTGTATATCCATCAAGTTTTCCTCTGTTTTTTTTTCGATGTCTTAAGATGTGCTTGTGCAGAGGAATGTCAATTCAGCTAAATGCATGTGTAGTTTTGTTCTGTCCCAAATGATATGCACCTGGAATTGCACGTGCAAGATGATGCTAACTTCAGATTTTGTTCGGTATCACTTGTCTTTTGAGAGGGCTTATGGTAGCTCATGTATAACTCTGTATCTGTCCCTTATTCGTGGAACTCATCTGTATGTTGTCGATTAGAGATTAAATTATTAATTCCGTGAACACACCTTACCTTGGGACAGTATTTCCATTGAACTTAAAATTGCATTTAGGTAGTACTGCAACTTAGTTTCTTGAAAGAAAGATTACCTTGAATTCTCTAGAATTTAGTAAATTCGTTAGGTTAATTCTGAGATTAGTTCAGTTCATTGAACTGTTTAGATACATGTATGAAGTTGTGTATAGTGCATGAACTATCTACTTTCCTTGAATTTTACTAAAAGAGATTAGCTATATAAGGAAAAAAGGGGGCGGAAGGTTTATTCTTTGTTGAGTTGTAAGACAACAACTACATCCTTCAATCATCACCCTACTCTCATGACCTCTCAAACACTTGAGAGTTGTAATGTACGGTACAAGGGTTAATACATTGGTTCAATTGAGAAGAGCAACTCTCTGGAGCATAAGATTTATTCTGGCCTCAGCCTCTGTGTCTTGGCAAATTTTCTCAAAGTTGATTATCAGTTGGAAGATCCAATAGGGTTAATTAACTTATCTTAGAGGATCATTTTATGATGATTGCTTCAGTTGTAGACCTGTGGTACCTTGACATTGGCTTTCTTTTAATTTTTAAAATGTCCTACTGACTACTTGGTCCATTGAAGTTGAATAACCATTGAATCACTAGTGTGGAGGAAATTTAATCAAGAACATGTTTACCTCTGCCTATGATGTGGAATGAAACCAAACACCCCCCCCCCCACCCCCCCTCAAAAAAAGAAAAAAGAAAAACAAGTGATGAAGAACAAAATGGACGAGTCAGACTGCATCTAAATCACGGCATAGTGTTTCAAAAGAAAGATTTTTCAACTGCCACGTTATAGGTGTGGAGTAGGAAATTTACATGGAACTCTCATTGGAAAAGTAAAAGAAGTAGCCTGTGCAACATGTTGAGTTCAGTTGCGTACTTCAATTGTGTTTTGGTATAAACTAATACGGTCTACATGCAAAATCAAAGGTCATGTTATTGGGGCATCAACTTCATTGTGCTTGAAATGTGTTTTCTACTGTTCATTGTTGCACATGGACAAGTTGCTATCAACCAGCCTTTCATTAGTGAATCCTGTTTCAAGCCAGAACTTAGTTCTGTACAGTTAAACCAAAATAATTGCCTCGTGTAACTTCCAACTCTTTTGACTTACATTATACCTATGAATTTGCCATTTTTCTTTTGCAGTTGTCTAGATGTCTGGGGGCCTCTGGTTCCTTCAAGTTTTGGTTGATATAGTATTTAATGTTTGTCTTGGACAACTTTCTAGACTATTGATCTCCTAAGTGCATCCTATCAAAAAAGGGAAAGAAAAACCTATTGAGTGTGGATTTGGAGAAAGTCTGAATTAGAATGGTGCATTATGAGTTCCCCATAAATTTTTCTGTTTTTTATGTGGCCTTCTTTCGGATGTCATGTTGATTGCATTTCAAGTATCTTTCTTTTTATTTGACTTGCTTTTTCTCAAGTTTCAGGTTGTTTAGGCCGGCGGTTTGGACCTACAATTCTTCGCAGGGTTGATCATTCGGGGGTAACTTCTTCTCTCTTATACTGTGCATATCTTTTCATATTGCATTTTCTCTTAGAAGTTTGTGAGAATGGATGAAGCATTTACAATTTGCTTGGTGTTGGTACAACAGAGACTGGTTAGAGACTTTCAGAAGATTCTAAGCGAAGTAAAGAGTGCAGACATCCCAGATAATTTAAAGCTCCCAGATTCATTTGATCAACTTGTATTAGAGATCCAAAACAATCAGTATGACGCAAGGACCTTCGCACTCAAGTTGAGAGCAATGGTATGTGGCATGCTACAAATGGATGGATAGCTTCTTGAATCTCCACTTTTGGTTTTTTATCAAGGCATATATTCTCAGGGTGACTAAGCATAAGATTAGCCCCTTTTAGTATTTTAAGTTTTCATAAATCATTTCACGATTCTTAATATCTTGGTTTTAGATACCTGATTTTAAAGTAGTTAATCCTGGTTTAAGGCTTACATGCCTGTCCTTATTACCTGTGGACTTTTGTAGTAATTAGGTTGTTGGTGATCACAATTCTGCTTAAGAAATAGTAAATAGACTTATTTCTCATTGCCTGCTATCTCAGTTGCCCTGAAATCAACTTCTTATGGCGTCTCTTTAGTGTTCACACTTGAGCAGACATTGTTGATAGTTGGATCTATAGTTCGATATTTCGATGCCCGTGCACCTTTTAACTGTAGTATTCCATTTTCGTTTATGGTTTCCTTATAACTAAGTTCCTTCCAAATTGCCAAAAGAGTTTGTGTTACATAGGATTTATTCTGGGTCTCAAATACATGAGATGGTGCCTATAATAATGCAAATTATGGTGTTCTTGTTTTTGGTTAATGCAGAATATTGTTTTGATATAGGCCTTTTGAGTTATCTGTAGGATCTGTCCCTTTTATTTCATCCATTGGCATTTAACAGTAGGACGACTATGAAGATATTATATTGTTTAGACATTTTCTAACTGAGTTATTCTTTGCTTTTCCTTGTAGATGGAGAAATTCGAAAAAGAGATAAAGGAATCCAAGTTTGCAGAACTGATGAACAAACACTTTGCAGCTAGTTCTGTTCCCAAAGGCATTTATTGTCTCTCTTTGCGTCTAACTGATGAATATTCTTCTAATGCTCATGCACGCAAACAATTGCCTTCTCCGGAGTTGCTTCCTTTACTCACTGACAACTCTTGCCACCACTTTGTTTTATCGACTGATAACATTTTAGCTGCTTCAGTTGTTGTGGCTTCCACCATCCAGTCATCTCTGAAACCTGAAAAAGTAGTCTTCCATGTCATCACTGACAAGAAAACTTATGCGGGGATGCACTCTTGGTTTGCACTTAATCCTGTATCCCCTGCTATTGTGGAAGTGAAAGGCATACATCAGTTTGACTGGTTAACAAGAGAGAATGTTCCTGTACTAGAAGCTGTGGAGAGCCACAGTAGCATCAGAAATTATTACCATGGAAATCACATTGCTGGGGCCAACCTGACCAGCACAACTCCAAGGACATTTGCTTCAAAATTACAGGCTAGAAGTCCAAAGTATATCTCTTTGCTCAATCATCTCCGAATATATCTTCCTGAGGTAATTAATTGGCGTAGGATTAAAAGTACCTCGATCTTAGATTTTCTATTGCTTGGTTCGAACTAAATAGTGGAATCCTGGTGCTTGATAGGTGAATGATGCCCGATTTTATGCTGATCTGCATTTGAGATATCATTAATGTTTTGGCTAAACATATTTTCAGAAAACTAAATGCTCTGAGATAATTTTCAGTTGGGATTTTCTATCAGAACATCTATAAGTTTGATTCTTTGTGGAGTAGAGACAGAACTCAATTGATCTTGAAACATTAAGCAATGGCCATTAGTTGATACAGTGATGTATTCATTGCAAGATGGAAGAGACTCGGGAAACGATTCAGAGGGTTACTCGAAGTAGGATTTCTAAGCTCTAATGTTGTAATAGGACTTTGCAGATGATAATTTTGTTATCTGCGTTTTTGCTTACTGTGATTGAGAAATTTACCAGATCATAAAATCTAATACTTTAGCTGATTCTTGAGTTATATGTGGACCTTCCTTGTGCATTATTGGTTATTGGATGTTTATCCTCTTTTGTGATTGATACTTCTCTATGGATATACATCTGACTATTTGTGTTGGAACAGCTCTTTCCTAACCTTGACAAGGTGGTGTTCTTGGATGATGATGTTGTAATTCAGCGCGACTTATCTCCACTTTGGGAGATTGACCTTGGGGGAAAAGTTAACGGAGCTGTAGAAACTTGTAAAGGTGAAGACGACTGGGTTATGTCCAAGCGGTTCAAGAATTACTTCAATTTCTCCCATCCCCTCATAGCAGAAAATTTAGATCCAGAGGAATGTGCATGGGCCTATGGGATGAACATCTTTGATCTTCGTGCATGGAGGCAAACTGGTATAAGGGAAGCTTACCATGCCTGGTTGAAAGAGGTACTACTGATCACAATGTCTGTCCTGTTGCACTTTTATCATATCATGTGGCTTTCATCGCTAATGACCTCACTTTGTTGTACATATCTTTTTCTTTCGGCCAGGAAAGATAGAGATAAATGACTGTTAGATAAAGCCTCCATATAAAATATCTTTGGTTTCACTTGAAATGTGCTTCGTTTATGCTCTCTTTGCCTTAGCGGGAGATCTATGGCCAGTAAGATTACAAGTGTGGTAGAATACTAAAGTTCCTGCTAGGACCTATAGATATGACCTGCCTAGTTACATGTTGGGTCTCATGTACGTAACATACCTTCAATCATATTGGTACTTAAGAAGGAGAGGTCTTTAACTCCATACTAAAGTAGTGAGTGGCAGTGGAGTCTTATGAGGATTATATTTTTGAATAATTACATTGCATGGATATAATGATTGATTACCCATTGAGCTTTATGTGCAGAATCTGAAGTCAAACTTGACGATGTGGAAACTGGGAACATTGCCTCCTGCTTTGATTGCATTCAGAGGCCATGTTCACCCAATTGACCCTTCATGGCACTTGCTTGGCTTAGGTTATCAAATTAAGACAGACATTGAGAGCGTGAAAAAGGCTGCAGTAATCCACTATAATGGTCAGTCAAAACCTTGGCTGCACATTGGCTTTGAGCATCTACGCCCTTTTTGGACCAAATATGTTAACTACTCCAACGATTTTATGAGGAACTGTCACATCTTGGAATCATAGTCTATTAGCTGGAAGATCTAGAAGCTAAAGAGATGCAAGTGGAAAACATGTAAGTGGTATTGGGGTGCGCATAAATAGCACTAGAGTTCGAGCTTTTCATCAGGACCCATGTGAATTACAAGCAGTGGTTGGCCATATGGCACCTTTGAAGTCTGGTTTCCTTCTTGTCGCTCCCACTGTTTGGACATGACTCAACACAGGCTCGAGAATTTTTTGATTCTGTAACATAGCCATTCATTGGATTTTCTTATTATTAAAGACGACAGCCTTGTGATCTGTCCTCCATGGGAGGTCTTGCCTGATTCGGAAGTCCATGGATCTGAAATCAGGTGTAAGATGAGAAGTGTGATGGCGACATGCTTATGGTGCTGGTTCGAGTATTTTGGGCCAAGTCTTTGTTAGGTTTCTCTATCAGCTCTCCCACACTTTCACAAGTTCTTTTAAGTTTTGTTAGTTACCTCCCCTTTTGTTTTACTTGTTGATTACAGCGAATTCTAGAAGTAGATCATGGAGATTGTTTTTTAGAGGTTCCAATTTGTTGGGAACTTTTCTTAGGCTGTTTTTGGGTCATTCATTTTGTACAAATCACGAAGAAAGCATTTGAAATGTGCAGAAAATTCTTTGAACTACTTCTCCATTATTATAGGGCCATGAATAATATGATGTCCAGGGATTGCCCTGCATTTCTCTTTACTTCAGTTCTGTTTGTACTTTGTCATCCCCTGATTAGTGCAAAGGAGGTTCGAACAGTCGTGGTTGAACCGAATCAAACCAAACTGGATTTCATGGTATGGTTCGCTTTGAGAATACTTTTTTAAAAGAATAGTTCACAAGTTGATTCGAACCTTTTTCATGTTTGAAGAAGGACGAGATCAACTTAAGCACGAATTCATGAAGTGCCTTCGCAATCTTTTGCGATACTTCTTTTTAGTCTAGATATGAAGTAGCTTACATTTTTTGAGTTTGTACTGCTTGAAGTTTTGATTAGATTTGCCTTTAGTGTGAATACATGAGTTGTAATGAATTTGACTTCTTCATGAAACCAGTATTCTTTCTAAAATATCTGAGCGAATATGAGTTCGTGAATCATTAATTTTTGAAAAAAATGAAAAATAAAAAAAAGAAGACGGCTTAGAGTCGAATCTGAACTGCGAAAATTCGTTGGGTGCGATTTCCTTTCCAATCTATTATTTGATTTGATGTGGTTTCACTTTTCGTTGAAGTGTATTAATTTAGTTTGGTTTGGCATTTGACTTTTAAATCTAACTAAATAGTACCGTGCTCTCCTTATGTAAAAGCTTTTCAAAACGATAGTTTCGTCTCGGAAGATGTATTATTTATTGGGAAAATAACACAAATAACCCTTAAACTTTGGTCCAATGTTCAATGTGATTCCTGAACTTTTAATTTGTTCAATATGGTCCATAAACTTTAACCGAACATGCAACGTGGTCCCTGAACTTTTAATTTGTTCAATGTCATCCCTGAACTTTTGGTACATGTTCAATTTAGTTCCGGAACTATATGAAAATGTTCAATATAGTCATTCCATTAATTTAAGTTCAGGAACTACATTAAGCATTTTCATATAGTTCAGGGACTATATTGAATATGTATCAAAAGTCCAGGGACCATATTGAACAAATTAAAAGTACATGAACGACATTGCACATTGGGCCAAAGTTGAGGAACTACATTGAACAAATTAAAAGTTCAGGGATTACGTTGCACATTAAGTCAAAGTTCAGGAACTGTTTGTGTCATTATTCCTTATTTATTTGAATTACAGATATTATGTATTTTCATTATGAAATTAATGAGGTTGGCTTGCTATTGGGTCAATTCTTACTTTCTTAGGACCCTAGGATCTGGAACTGTAGAGGTTTCAGAACCAAACCGAAAAACCGAACCGAGATACGAACTGAACCAAGCCAAACTGGTTTTATTTGATTTGAGCGGGATTCGGTTTGGTTCAAGGGTGCACCTCTAACGGTTCAATTCAGTTCGGTTTTCTTGAAAAACCAAACTAAACCAAACCGTTTACATCCCTACGGGACAGTGGGAGTCGCAAGCGAGGGCCACCGGCCCTTGACGGAAACCCCCACCCTGCAACCCCAAAAAAAAAAAACAGTGATTTCCACTTTATAGAAAGCAATCTCATCTTTTGGGGAAATCTATGGACTAATAGGGTGTTTTAGGAGACCAATTCTGTTTACAATATGGGCCAAACGATCTTGCCCGTTGGATCAATTCTAGAAGTGTAATCGCAAACCTATTAAACGAAAATAACTGATAATAGGATTATCAATTTTCGATTGCTTAGGGAGAATTTACAATAACCAAGGATGATTATTTTACGGATAGTATCCATTGCTTTACAAATTTGAAAGAGATGCTACAATCATTTAGGTTAATTTACTACAAATATGGAAAAAGAATTTGCCATAAATTTAGGCTGCTTACTATTTTTGAAAGTTATGACCGTAAGGACATTTATATTTATAAAAAGTCGAGGTAATTTACTATTTCTAATTCTATATTACTAATAGTCATATACATGGACTAATAGATAATTTATATATTGTTGGGGTCAATTACTAATTATTGATTCTATAACTTATCACAATTTTCAGGTAAGTTGCTAATGCTATTGGTCAGTTACTAAGCAATTGCATTATCATATGGCAAACTTTATGACTAAACTTGCGTTTGTTTCAAAGGAAACATTTTTCAGGAAAATATTTTCCTACCGAAGCTTAAATTCATGAAAATGATTTCCCTTTGAAAGAACCAGAAAACATTTTCCGAAATATGATTATATATCGACATTTGGACCCGAAACTCTACGCTTGAAAACAAAAAACCCCGACGTTTGTTCTCGGGTCCCAACGTTAAGGACCAGATCTTCGTCGGCCGAGCGGCCTTCAGTAGTGAGGCCTGAGCTCGTTCGAGGCCGGCGAGCTCGGGCCTCGCTAGATTGGGTGAGCTTACGGCCTCTGGCGGCGAGGCTCAAGCTTGCCCAAGGCCTGCAGCTTGTGCATCGCAAGATCAGGCAAGCTTACAGCCTTTGGCGGCGAGGCTCAAGCTCGCACGGGGCCAGCGAGGTTCAAGCTTGCCTGTGGCTGGTCGCCATGGCCAGCAACCGGCCAAGGAAGAAGCAAAAAGAAAAAGAAATAAACAAAGAAAAGAAAAGAAAAATACATAAAAATATAAAATAAAAAAATATTAAAAATATGAATTTTTGATAATTTTCCCCATCAGATTTTTCTTACCAAACGATTAAAAATACTTTCCAAATCTTTTTTAGGTTTTAACCAAATACTGGAAAATAAAGTCATTTTATCGAAAAATATTTTTCAAAAAATGTACATTTTCCACAAAACTAACGACCCTAAATACAAAAAAGAAAAGTACTCACTGTAAATGCAGTTGAGATTATGACCACTTAAAGCAAATTACAATTATTGGAAGGACCTCTAAGTTATGATCTATCTTGGTAAAATACAATATCTTTGAATAACTACTATGGGTGTGTTTGTTTCGTGGAAAATGAATGATTTGGAAAATATTTTCTTAAAAATAATTGCTTGTGTCACTTACAATAATGAACGAACGAAAAATATTTCCCCGTCCGAGAGAATGTCTAGACATAAATTGCTATCGATAATTAAAATCGACGATGCATAGGAGGAAGTTTCATCAAGGTCAATTTGCACCGTTTAAGTATGTAGGGACCATCAATAATTGACTAATTTTTTCAAGCGATACAAATGATATTTTTAAATATTTTTCAAATTATTTATTTTTCGTAAAACAAATGAAGCCTAAATGACAGCACAAAGTTATAATTAATGATAGAAAGTTAATAACCATTATGAAGTACCATTTATGACCATTCGAATAAAATTACAATATCATTTGATAAGTACTGGTGACAACATCCTCGAGTTAAGGGAGGTTATTGTTTGTGATGGGAAGTTAATACCCACAAGATCAATCAAATTATGAGAAGTTTAGCAATACATAGCTTTAGGTCAATGCTTGGTTGATAACTTCAATTAAGTACTAAAACTCCAATTATATGGCACTTATTAATGAAATTACGCACTTGTTACAATGACAATCAGTTTCGAAATTCGAATTGGTAGATTCAATAAAAAAAAAAAAGCGATTAATTTGCTATGTAGCATAGGTTCACTAAATTTATGCAGACTTTGCTTTTGCCTTTTTTTCCGGATTTTTCATCAAATTCCTCTTTCGAACCGAATTAAACCTTTACTTTATTACGACCTTGATTGAATTAGACATGTTATTGCCATTTTTGTGAAAACAGAAAAGATGAAAGGGAAAATTGTCCAAAAAGTCATAAACCTATTGCACTTTTGCCAATTCAGTCCTAAACCTTTTCACTTCTTGCCAATTCAGTCCTAAACATTTTCATTTCTTGCCAATTCAGTCCTAAACATTTTCACTTCATGCCAATTTAGTCCATCCGGTCAATTTTGGCCGGCTGTCCGACCAACACTGATGTGGCAATTAAATTTTTTTTTTTTGCCCTTCTTTCCTCTGGCTGGTCCGGCGATCGGCCAGAGGTGTAGGCTGGTGAGGTCGACCTCGCCGGCCTCTGGCGAAGCTTGCCCTCGCTGGCCACTAGTAAGGGTGAGCCTCGCCTGCCGCTGCCTAGGCGAGATCGAGGCTGACCTCATCGTCGCTAGGCGAGGTAGAACCCAGCGACGGCACGGACGGCCACGACTAGCCATGGCGAGGGCGACTCGCCATCACTGGGCGAGGTGAAACCCAGCGACAGCGAGGTCGGCCTCGCCATGGCTGGGCGAGGCTTGCTGGCCAGTGTTGTCGTAGGTCGGTCTCGCCTTGGCTGGGTGAGGCTCGCCTAGATTTTGCAAGGCCGACCTTGCCATCGCTAGGTTTCACCTCGCCTTGGCTGGGCGAGGTTGGCTTGGGAACGGTGAGCGAGGCTCGCCCTCGACAGTGGCCAGCGGGGGCGAGCTTCGCCAGAGGCCGGCGAAGTAGGGAAGAAGGCAGAAAAAAAAGAAAGAAAAGAAAAAAAAAATTGGAAAAAATATTAAAAAATTGCCACGTCAGCGTTGACCGGCACCGGACGGCGGCCATGTTAGCGCTCGCCGGCCCAAATTGGCCGGATGGACTCAATTGGCAAGAAGTGAAAAGGTGTCACGCTCTGATCCCCACGAGAACGCAACATCCCACCTCGGTTGTTAGGTAAGCGACATCCCAGGACTTGTCGCTGACCCAATCAAATCACAACGATAACTCAAGTGGAAGCAAACTTGAACTCGCCATACAACATATAATTAAATAGGATAATAGAGAGACATTTGATACACATCAATGAAACACTTTTATAAACATAACGTCAGTAACCACATATACACTTGCAAGCCTTTTGTGAGGTAACTAACTGCGGACCACGTGTAACAAAAAGGGTCAGGTGGTCGGTTGGCCTAACTCCTCTAATCAAAAGAGGGCTTCTCAAAAGTCGGGATTTCTAAACCTATCAGTCACCCCTATGCTATCCAGGCGGCGTCCCCGGATCGGACTCGAAGTACTCAGGCGATCCCGGATCAGCCATGTCGTCGGACGGCTCGGGTTCGAATTCAACAGGCTTCGGCTCGGGGTCAGACTCCATAGGTTCCGACTCGGGATCCGAATCTTTAGGACCGGTGTCCAGACTAGTAACAACTCCGTCTGGTGGAAGGAATTCCATAGGGTCCCACTCTTCTACTCCGTCATCAGGGGGAACATCAAATCCCTGGAGTGGACTAAATATTTCGTCTGCATCCCAGTAGAACCAAGCCAAAAAGGTATGTGGTTTCCAAATGGTCTCGCCCTTGTCTACCCAAACAGTGCTAGCATGCCTAATGTAAACCCTATCTTCTCCCATTGGGTATTCCGTCAACATATGCTCTATATGCATCGGTATCCCAAAACGTTGTAGTGGACCATTCAGGTTCATGATTGGGGGTTTGAAATGTTTGGGATACAACAATGAGAATAAATCTCAATAAGTAACTACCTAAGCCTTGCTTAGGCTAACGCGTACCTCCGGACAGTTCTAAATATGCAATTCTATCAATCAATGTGCTACATCAATCACAAGAGCCCTTACCTCGCCTTGGCATATACATAAGCTTTGCACGTTAGAGAACCGCCACAACATTGCAAACACTCATCGAGCATAACAACCCCAAATCGAGGCATGAACATGCATAGCACACTTAATAATCTAGACATGCCCAACATTAGTCTCAAACATGGCATTCCATACTGCATATCGCACTCACTAGGTCAAGATTATTAATGGCCCATTGAGCTCCCCCGAACTCACGTAAAACGCATCAGGTTATCGGTCTTCCGGCGTAACTGGGTATCATCCTGCTACGTCGACGGTAGCAACGTCCCGCGTTAAATGCATCAAGACGGCATTCCACGAGGAGCATCAATCCGACCTCCACCGCGATTGGCATCTGGGCCCCTGCCAGGCATCCGATAAATCGGGCATCGTCTCGCGTAAAACGCATCAAGACGGTTTAAATCCTCGCGTAAGACGCCTCAGGGCATTATATGATCACACGAGCATTTAAGCACTCAAACCAATTCTCATCTTTTTGATTAGTCAAATGCCACTAGATCCGTACTCATCTAACAAGAAGCAGCACCTCTCATATGAACAATAACACCGAATAGTCCCCGAGAGAGCGAAACCCAACTTGCACAGAACCGGTATTAATCTGGGCGGCTGCGCAGCGACCGAAATCCTTTCGAAATAAATAGTAATTCAACTCCAAAAATTATGAATTTTGGATATGTCATAGGAAACATCTTAATAAACATTTTTCATGAGAGTATGAAACCCAATTCTGACTGTAAACACCTCTTTTTGTCACTCGAAGTTAGACAGAAATCAGTCCTTTCGGACAGGCCGCCCGGTCTTCAAAATGCATCTCAATCAGTACCCAAATATCTTTATAAAGCTTTGAAATTTTTATATGTCATAGAAACTAGTGTTTTTAACAATTTTCGTGAAGGAAGCTTGTTGAAAAGAGGCCTAGAAAAATTTATAAAAAATTCGGAAAGACAAGAAGATCGGGTGAACAATAATTCCGGCAGTTTTGAGACGATCCAAAAATGGACTTCCGAATGACCCCAAATGATCTTCAAAAATTTCAGTTTTAATTTATATTATACTTCGAGATGTTAGGGACAACTTTTATGAAGAACACCACCTCAGATTCGGCCCCAAAAAGTCTCCACAAAAATTACAAAACATAGAGGCACAGCAGCAACCAAACCGGGAATCAACCAACCAAGAACCAACAAGCAACCAGACTCATCTAGCCACTAAACTACCTCTAAACGGCCCTTAATCAACCTTTACACATGTCATTAGTAACACATTATCCTAACCAAGGTTTAGGGAGCACTTATTAGGAATCCTAAGCAAAGCCAAGCCAAGCCAAGCAAGCAGCTACTTCGGCGGACGGACGGGTGGCTCGGAGGCGGCGCTGGTCACGGGTGGGCCACGACTGGGACGAGCACGGGGTGGTGGTGACGGTGAGGGGTGGTGCTGGTCTCGGCTAGAGGTGGTGATGATCGAAAATGAGAAGGAAGAAGGGAGAGAAAGAGGGTGGTGGCAGTGGTGAGCAGCAGCGGCGGTCGGCGGCGGTTCCGGCATGTCTCCGGGGACTGAACGGTGACTGGAGCGGCTGAACTGGTCACGGCAAGGTGGAGGGGGAGAGGGTCGGCCGAAGATGAAGAGAGCAAGGGAGGGAGAGAATGAAGGAGAGAGAGAGAGAGACAAGAGTGATTGATCATCTACTAACCTCACTAACTCACAAAATCCCAATACTAACCCCACTATCATCCAAGGGTCTAGAATCCAACTTGTTCCCCACTCCAAGATCTTATGGCTCTCAAATTTCCTCTCAAGTAAATACCCAAAAATAACAAATGGCAAGAAAATAAATAAGCAAGGAGAGGAGGGGCACAATGGTCCATTAAATTCGGCCAAAGGAGGGAAAATACTAAAGTCCAAGTTGCCGTTCAATGTCTCAAATGAATTCAAATATCCTCGGGGGTAAAATGGTCTTTTCCAATACCCGGTCCAAATTACACTTTTCCGATAATTTCGAGCGATCTAATAGTTGGCCACGCTTGATGAGACGACATCCGATAAATTTTCGTGGAATCTTGAAAGTTCGACATCCTATTCTGGATTCTAATTCATGGCTAAAACCAATCAATCGCGATTTTAGTGTATCTCAAATTAACGGGCGGCTTTTAGGAGCTACGCGTATCGACCCGTGGCCGATTTGATATCGAGCCACATCTAAGCTTACTCGAGCCATGGCAACTGCAGTTGTCATGTAATTGCGAGGGTCAATCACTAGTTCCAATTGACGCGATCGTTCGGATTAGGTTTAGGATCGTTCGAAATTCATACAATGGTCGAACGGAATCACCCGCGATCCAATTATACAACATTTGCGAATTGTTCCATAACCATCCTTGGATCGGCCTATAATGGCCCAAAATATCTCATCGTCAATCCTTATGGTCGAAGTGTCGATTCTTGGCCAAGTTCTTATGACCACGTACTTGATTCCTAGCTAGCCATTCCCTAATGATTAGTCTTCTCAAGAGTGATCAATTCGGTGTGAGATTTAACTAACGTGCATCGAAGATATATATTCATTTCATAAATTCTGAAAATGAGTCGAATTTCAGAATGTCACAACTCTTCCTCCCTTACAAAAATTTCGTCCTCGAAATTTACAACCAATCTACACTTGCTCAAACAAATGAGGATGTTGACACCTCATGATTTCTTCACTTTCCCATGTGGCTCTCCTTTGGTACCGTGATGCTGCCAAACAACTTTAACCAATGGGATTGTCTTATTCCGCAAAACTTGTTCTTTTCTGTCCTCTATCCGAATAGATCTCTCCACGTACGACACCCTGTCGTCCATATCTATTTCTTCATAATTCAGCACGTGGGTCGAATCCAGTTCGTACTTCCTCAGCATGGACACGTGAAAATGTTGTGAACTTAAGACAAATTCGGCGGCAAGGCGAGTCGATAGGCTAAAGTCCCAATCCTTTCCAAAATTTCAAATGGACCTACATACCTTGGGCTTAACTTTCCTTTCTTGCCAAATCAAGACGTTCCTCGCATTGGTGACACCTTGAGGAAAATATGATCTCCCACTTGAAATTCCAAAAGTTTACGGCTCCGTTCCGCATAACTCTTCTGACGATTCTAAGCGGTCTTAAGCCTGTCTCGAATGATCTTAACTACCTTGACTGATTGTTGTACCAATTCTGGACCCGTTATGCTCCGTTCCCTAACTTCATCCCAACAAACTGGAGTTCTGCAAGCTCTGCCATACAACGCCTCAAACGGTACCATTCTAATACTTTGCTGATAACTGTTATTATAGGCAAACTCGACCAAATACATATGTTCTTCCCATCCTCCTTTAAAATCTATCACGCAGGTTCGTAACATGTCCTTGAGCGTCTGAATCGTTCTCTCAGACTGACTATCTATCTGTGGATGATAGGCCGTACCATATTACAGCTTCGTCCCCATAGCCATTTGAAGACTTTTCCAAAAGGTGGCGGTAAACTTAGGGTCTCTGTCCGACATAATCGTTACTGGCACTCCGTGAAGATGGACTATTTGTCGCATATACAGCTCGGCGTACATATCCATTTCGAAGTCCTTTCGCACTGCCAGAAAATGTGCTAACTTAGTTAATCTATCGACGATAACCCAAATTGAATCGTGGCCTCTCTGACTCCTCGGCAAACCCATGACAAAGTCCATGGTGATATGCTCCCATTTCCATTCTGGAATTTCCAATGGTGCAACAGTCCACCGAGCTTGCAATGCTACGCCTTCACTTGTTGACACATTAGGCACTTTACCACGTGCTTGGCTATATCCACTTTCATTCTGTTTCACCAGTAATGTTGACATAGATTATGATACATCTTCGTACTGTCCGGATGAATACTATAATTACTGCGATGAGCTTCTACCAAAATTTCCTCCTTAAGTTTCGCATCATTTGGCACGCACAATCGTCCACGAAACTTTAAGATTCCGTCCTCGGAGACTTGAAAGTCGGTTTTCCTCTTAGTTGCATCCATACTCAGAATCTTTTGAATGTCAAGGTCCGTAGATTGCAATGCCTTAATCCTCGCCTGAATCTCCGGCTCGATCCTCAAAGTAGCCAATAGACTTGAGAGGTAACCTACCTCAAACTTAAATTCCGAATCACGTATTCCTTCGAGTAGAGTCCACTCTTTAACCATCATATGCGCAATGCTTGACTTCCGACTAAGTATATCCGCTACTTTATTAGCCTTCTCAGGGTGGTACAAGATGTCGCTGTCGTAATCTTTAAGAAGTTTCATCTAATGGCGTTGTCTCATGTTTAGCTCCTTTTGGGAAAACAAGTACTTTAAACTCTGATGGTTCGTGTAGATTTGAAACCTTCCTCCACACATATAGTGCCTCCAAATCTTTAATGCAAAGATGATAGTCACAAGTTCCAAATCATGCGTTGGGTAGTTTAGCTCGTGAGGCCTTAATTGTCGTAATGTGTATGCAACCACTCTTCCATATTGCATTATAACACATCCTAATCCCTTTAGCGACGCATTACTATAAATCTCATATCCTCTGAGACTTGATGGTATTGTCAACATAGGGGTGGTAATCAACTTATGCTTAAGCTCTTGGAAACTCCTTTCACACTTGTCTGTCCATTTGAACCTGTTTCCTTCTTTAGTAGACGCGTCAAAGGAGTGGCTATCACGGAGAACCTTTCCACGAATCTTCTATAATAGCTCGCAAGTCCTAGGAAGCTTCGAACCTCTATCACTGTCGTCGGTCTTGGCCAATTCGTAATAGCCTCGATTTTAGCCGGATCCACTGAAATCCCATCCCCGGAGATCACATGTCCAAGAAATGTCACTCGATTGAGCCATAACTCGCACTTACTAAACTTGGCATAGAGTGCGTGTTCCTTAGATGGTTCGTAGAACCATCCTTAGATGTTGTTCATGTTCCTTATGGCTCTTCGAGTATACCAATATATTGTCGATGAACACAATGACGAACTGATCTAAGAACTCCGTGAATACGCGATTCATTAAATTCATAAAGGCGGCTGGGGCGTTAGTCAATCTAAATGGCATGACGGTAAACTCGTAATGTTCATATCTTGTACGAATTGCCGTCTTCGGTATGTCCTCCTTCTTGATCTTTAGCTAATAGTAGCCCGTTCTTAAGTCTATCTTGGAGAATACCGATGCCCCTTGTAGTTGATCAAACAGGTCATCTATTCTTGATAATGGATACTTGCTCTTGATGGTTACTTGGTTCAACTACCGATAATTAATGCATAAACGCAATGACCCATCATTCTTTCTCATAAACAACACTAGTGCTCCCCACGGTGATGCAATTGGACGAATAAACCCCTTATCTAGTAGTTCTTGCATCTGAACCTTCAACTCTTTCAACTCTAACAATGCCATTCTATAGGGCGCTCTAGAGATCGGCTCCGTCCCAGGGGCCAACTCGATTACAAATTCCACTTCCCTTTCAGGTGGCAATCCCGGTAATTCCTGAGGAAAGACATCAGGGAAATTGCACATCTCGGCTATGTCCTCTAGCCTCGGTTCCTCGATCGATGAATCAACCACAGTCGCTAGGTAACCTTGACATCCTTCATCTAACAACTTAGTTACCTCCAGCGACGAAATCCAAGGGATCGAGGTTCCTCCTTGGTTTCCCACAAACTCATATCTAGAGTGATCAATCGGATTAAATTGAATCACCCTGCTACCACAATCCAACACAGCCCTCTGTCTAACCAGCCAATCCATATCAATAATAACATCAAAATCAAACATAGCCAAGACAGCTAGATCAATCAAATTCTCCATACCAGCAATAACAATCTTATAGTTTGGGCACCCTAACGAAATCATCACTTTATCCATAAGAGGGATGGTAACACACAACATTACTTCTAGCGGTTTCGGCTCAATACCAGTCAATTCAACAAACTGCTCAGACACAAACGAATGCGACGCTCTGGATCAAACAAGGCATAAGTAGCATGATCATATAAAGAGATTGTACCTGTGATCACGCCAGGCGCATCCTCCGCCTCTTTGCGAGCCATAGCGTAAATCCTTCCTTGAGCTGGGGGTCGGTTCTGATTACTCTGTAGGGCGGCTCCAGATTTCCTACTCGAGGTGGCTGCGGTTGTACTGGCGGCCTCACTTGGCGGTTTGGGCAGCTTCTCACTTGATGACCATGTTGGCTACATCCAAAACATGCTCCAGGCCAACCTAGGCAAGGGCCATTCCCGTGCCTCCTTCCACAAGATCGACATGCGACGTTGGAGTAGTAGTTCGGCTTTCCTTTCTTACCGGAGGAAAAATCTCCTATTCTTGGTCATAGGCTTCTTACCAAAGTTGCGATTATCCCTAGCCGGCGCGTACCGCGATCCAAATGAGGCAGCCTTCTCAGTCATATCTCGTTCAACCATTTGAGCTCGCTCATAAAGCTCATTATAATCCCTCAAGTTTAGAAGTATCAACTAACTATGAAGCTCCGGTTTCAGACCATCCCGGAACCTCTTCACCCTATCCAAAGGGTTCTTGACCATCCTCGGTGCGAATTTAGATAACCTTGGAAATTTCGCCTCGTACTGATCCACGGTCATTTGATTCTGGCGAAGCCGTAGAAATTCTGCCATTTTCTGCCCTTGTACACTCTCAGAAAAATACTTCCCGTTGAAGGCTTTGACAAAGGCATTCTAGTTCGGAGTCGTGCCTTCTGGAAAGATTCTATCTCGCGTGACCTTTCACCAATCACTTGCATTACATTGTAGTTGATACACTGCCATGGTCACCTTTTCCTCCTCCATGCACCCCAGAAGTTTAAAAGCCTTCTCCAACTCTTCAACCCAAAGGGTGGCAGCCTCGAGATCACCCTTTCCATTGAACTGGGTGGCTAAAGTTTCAGGAACTGCTCTACTAACTGGTGCATTTGGTGATTTCCATTTCCCTGATTACCATTGTTCCCATTAGCCCCATTAGCAGCGGCAACCGTGGCCTCAGTAGCCTGAGCGACAGTGGCAGCTCGCTCTTGAGCCTACCTTCCCATCAGATTCTGATCTCCTGTAAAGCTCTTATGACCCCGTCCACTTGTGGGTCTTCCGCCACTCCGACTTGAGAACTAGACTGGCTCCTTGTCCCCATGCCTCGCTTGCTCATCCTCATAGGTTCTTACAACACACCTAAACCTGCTATAACTCCATCCAGGAATTAGAGACCTAAGCCATCTACTCAAGTCTAACATTTCTAAGCAGTAATTCACACAGTAATCATAAGGCAAGCAACCACAGAGCAAGCATGAGGAACACATAATTAACGGAGTTTCGATTTTACCTTAATCCTTGCAACGCCTGCAATATAGCATACTAACAACAAACCATCCAACAATCGCAAGCATACGATCATTGAGCATACATGAAACATTCTAACTTGTGATCACGACAGGTCTCCTTAATCAACTACCCCAAAGGTCATCTCTCCTTATCACTTCAGGTCTTGACCAAACTCGGATCGAGCTAACCTTGCTCTGATACCAATTGAACGGGGATGTCACGCCCCGATCCCCACGAGCATGCAATATCCCGCCTTGGTCATTAGGTAAGTGACATCCCAGGACTTGTCGCCGACCCAATCGAATCACATCGATAACTCAAGCGGAAGCAAACTCGAACTCGCCATACAACATACAATTAAACAAGATAGTAGAGAGACATTTGATACACATCAATGAAACACTTTTATAAACATAACATCAGTAACCACATATACACTTGCAAACCTTCTGTGAGGCAACTAACTGCGGACCATGTGTAACAAAAAGGGTCAGGTGGTTAGTTAGCCTAACTCCTCTAATCAAAAGAGGGCTTCTCAAAAGTCGGGATTTCTAAACCTATCAGTCACCCCCATGCTACCCAGGCGACGTCCCTGGATCGGACTCGAAGTACTCAAGCGATCCCGGATCAGCCATGTCATCGGACGGCTCATGTTCGGATTCAACAGGCTTCGGCTCGGGGTCAGACTCCATAGGTTCCGACTCGGGATCCGAATCTTCAGGACCGGTGTCCAGACTAGTAGCAACTCCGTCTAGTGGAAGGATCTCCATGGGGTCCCACTCGTCTACTCCGTCATCAGGGGGAACATCAAATCCCTGAAGAAGATCAAATAGCTTGTCTCAATCCCAGTAGAACCAAGCCATAAAGGTATATGGTTTCCAAACGGTCTCGCCTTCGTCTACCCAAACAGAACTAGCATGCCTAATGTAAACCCTATCTTCTCCCACTGGGTATTCCGTCAACATATGCTTCATATGCATGAGTACCCCAAAACATTGCGATGGGACATTCAGGTTCATTGTCAGGGGTCTGAAATATTTGGGATACAACAATGAGAATAAATCTCAATAAGTAACTACCTAAGCCTCGCTTAGGCTAGCGCGTACCTCTAGACAGTTCTAAACATGCAATTCTATCAATCAACGTGCCACATCAATCACAAGCGCCCTTACCTCGCCTTGGCACATACACAAGCCTCGCACGTTAGAGAACCACCACAACATGGCAAACACTCATATAGCATAACAACCCTAAATCGATGCATGAACATGCATAGCACACTTAATAATCTAGACATGCCCAACATTAGTCTCAAACATGGCATTCCATACTGTATATCGCACTCACTAGGTCAAGATTATTAATGGCCCCTTGAGCTCCCCTGAACTCACGTAAAACGCATCAGGTTATCGGTCTTCCGCCGTAATCGGGTATCGTCCCGCTACGTCGACGACGGCAACGTCGCGCGTTAAACGCATCAAGACGGCATTCCATGAGGAGCATCAATCCGGCCTCCACAGTGATTGGCATCCGGGCCCTCACCAGGCATCCGATAAATCGGGCATCGTCTCGCATAAAATGCATCAAGACGGGTTAAATCCTCGCGTAAGATGCCTCAGGGCATTATATAATCACACGAGCATTCAAGCACTTAAACCAATTCTCATCTTTTCGATTAGTCAAATGCCACTAAATCCGTACTCATCTAACAAGAAGCAGCGCCTCTCATATGCAACAATAACATCGAATAGTCCTCGAGAGAGCGAAAACCCAACTTGCACAGAACCGGTGTTAATCTGGGCGGCTGCACAACGACCGGAATCTTTTCGAAATAAATAGTAATTTAAC